TCTCTGCCCCTCACTCATTCATGCTCTGTGTCTCTCAAAAATAAATAAATAAACTTAAAAAAATAAAATAGGAAAATCATTCCAGATTATATGGATGGGCCCAATGATAACCACAAGTGTCTCTAAATGTGGAAGAGGGAAGTAGGAGAGTCCGTGTCAAAGGGATACGATGTTACCAAGATTTAGCCAGCTATTGCTAGCTTTGAAGATGGAAATGAGCCAGAAGCTGAGGAACATAGACAGCTTCTCAAAGCTGGAAAAGGCAAACAAACAAACAAGCAAACAAAAAGCCCTAGCTTCTTCCTGAGAGCTCCCCAAAAGGAAGCAGCACTGTGAAACCATTTCAGCTCAGTGAAACTTTCAGCTCAGTGAAACCATTTCTTATTTCTGACCTCTAGAACAGGAAAATAGTAAGTTTGCTTTGTTTTGGGCCATTACATTCGGGGTAGTTTATTACAGCAGCAATAGGCAATGCATACAGCTGAAATAAATTCTACACAGCACACACAGCACAGCGTGCCTTCTATACTCTCATCCTCTACTCCTCCCTCTTACATCCACAAGACAAGAAAATAAAATGCATTTTATTCTCCTTCCTGCATCATTTTTATGGGAAGCGTGTGATACATTTTACAGCTTTCTTGATGAAAACTTTCTAGTACGTACAAGTGTGAACAGGCAAGTATGAGGAGCCCTCACGGACCTACCACCCAGCTCCCATAATTATCCACATTTGGTCACTCCTGTCCCATCTAATCACCCACTTCAAGCCTCCCCAGTCAATCAACTTATAGATGTATTTAAAGTGCACGTACATATATTTGCAATTTGGAATGCACAAATCACAGCTGTACGTTTTTTAAATGTTTATCTAGTTTTGAGAAAGAGAGAGAGAGCATGTGCAAGTGGGGGAGGAGCAGAGAGAGACAGGGGAACGGAGGATCCTAAGCAGGCTTTGCACTGACAGCAGTGAGTCTGATGTGGGACTCGAACTCCCAAACCATGGGATCATGATCTAAGCTGAAGGCAGATGCTCAACCGATCGAGCTACCCAGGTGCCCCAGCTGTACATTATGATAAACAGATACATCCAAGTAACTCAGACCCCTCGCATATGAGCATCTATCTCTGTCTTCCTATAAAATTCCCCAATGTTGCTTTCCCACTTTCAACATCCATTTTCCCATAAATGGAACATCCTCTGTTGATTTCAGCATGTCTGTTAGACTCATTCATGTTGTTACAAGTCCAATAGCTCTTCCCTGTTTGATGCTGAATAGTATCGCCTTGCACAAATTTGTTTATTCATTTTTTGTTGATGCACACTTGGTTTGGTTCTAGTTCTTGGCTACTGTGAACAAAGCTGCTACGAATATTTTTAAACAACTCTTTTTGTGGACCTATATTTTATTTCTCTTAGATACAGTTTTTAAATTTTTTATTTATTTTTGAGAGACAGAAAGAGCACGAGCAGGGCAGAGGCAGAGAGAGAGGGAGATACGGAATCTGAAGAAGGCTCCAGGCTCTGAGCTGTCAGCACAGAGCCTGACACGGGGCTCAAACTCATGAACTGTGAGATCATGACCTGAGCCAAGTTGGCACTTAACCAACTGAGCCACCCAGGCACCCCTCTTAGATACATTTTAAGCCTAGAATTGCTAGACCAAAGGGGAGGTGTACATTTAACTTTGTAAGAAACTGCCAAATATTTTTCCAAAGTGGTCATAACGTCTTATATTTCCATCAGTAGTGCCTGAGAGTTCTGGGTGCTTCACATCCTTGCCAAATTTAGTATCGTCAGTCGTTTTTATTTTAGCACTTTTAGTGAAGATACAGTAGTATCTCATTGTGGTTTTAATTTGCATTTCCTTGATGACTAGTAACATTGAGTACTATATATATATGTGTGTGTATACACACACACACACACACACATATGTACACACCCCTTTGAGTAGTGTTTGTTTAAATTTTTAACTGGGTTGTGCCTTACTCCATTTGCACTGCTATAACAAAATACCATAAACTGGGTAACTTATAAAGAACAGAAATTTCTCACAGTTCTGGAGGCTGGTAAGTCCAAGATCAAGGCACCAGCATGGTCTTTTTCTGGTCAATGAGAGCCTCCTTTCTGGTTCATAAATGGTTTTTTGCTGGAACTTCACATGGTGGAAAAGTTAGAAAGCCATATGGGGTCTCTTTTATAAGACACTAATCTCATTCATGAGGGCTCCACTCATACAACTTAAGGCCTCCCAAAAGTTGCTAATTCCAACATATGGTGGACACTAGGATTTCAATATATGAATTTGGCAGGAGCAGGGGGATGATACAAACATTCAAATGATAGCAGGTTGTTTATCTTATTACTGAGTTGTAAGAATTTCTTATATATTCTGGATATGTATACTTTGTTAGATATATATTTAAAAAATATTTTCTCCCAATGTGATGCTTGTCTATTAAATTATATCAGTGATATAATTTAATAAATATAATTATTTAATTATATTTATTATAATTTAAAATTTATATTTAATACATATAATAATAAAATACTTCATGAGCAGAAGTACTGTAGTTTGATGAAGTCCAACTTATCAATTTTCTTATTTTGTGGATTACTTTCTGTGACTTAAGAAATCTTTGTCTACTCCCAAGTTGCAAAGATATTCTACACTTTCTTCAAAAGCTTTATAGCTTTTTATTTTTACATATAAGGATATGTCTCAGCTTATACAATTTCTGTGTATGTATACTAATTTTTGTACATGATAGAATTTATATCATATTTTATGTATAGGGTAGACTCTTTTCCACATAGATATCCAGTTGTTCTAGCATCATTTATTGAAAAGATTTCCATCTTTATTGAATTGTTTTGGTGCTTTTGTCAAGAAACAATTGCCTGCACAAATGGAGATCTATCTCTGAACGCTCTATTTTGATCCCTTGATCTACTTGTTCTTATCTCAATACTATGCTGTCTTGATTATAATATTAAGCCTTGAAGTCAGATAGTTGTAAATACTCTAGTTTTGTACCTTGTTTTGGGCATTCTAGGCATTTTGCATTTCTATTATAAATTTTAAAATATTTTGTTAATTTCTACCATATGTGCCTGCTGGGATTATGTTGAGAATAAGCTGAATATATATAGACCAAGTTGGTTCTAATGCCTTGGTAGCCTACTAAGCAAACCAAAACCTAAGCCTATAAATGCATTAAGGTTAAGAAAGCGTACCTAAGGCAACCAATCACAGTCAACGAGGCTTTCCCAAATAAGGCAGCCACATAGGCTACAGCCAATCAAATAATTTCCTTGCTTTGCTTCCCTTTCTTCATAGCCGATGTCTCCTGTTGATGCAGCATGCCTAACCACTTCTGGCTTGGCACTGGTTTGTTCAAACCAATTTTTGATCAAATAAACTCTTAACGATTTTTAATATGCCTCAGTTTATCTTTCAACAAGGTTGATTCCAATCTTTCATTATTTCACGCAAACGCAAAAATAAACATCACACCTATGTCTTTGCACATATACGACTGATTCAGTGGGGCAAATGCCTGGAAGTAGAACTGCAAACAGAGAGACTTGTCAAATGTAAGGATAACCCATACATGAAAGAGGGTACCACTGTTTGGTTTCTCTTACATTTTTCTACAACAGCTGAGAAGTAACAGTAACAAAGGAATTTTGCCTAACTCTGCAATCCTGGAAAAAGCTACCGTTTGCAGTGGTCAGTATAGCAAGCTCTGTCATTGAAACAGTTACCACAGTATAATAAAGAAAATCCTGGAGTCCTGCTTTTGGGAAGTTTACTGATAATGGCTGGTCTAATACTTGCCTTTGTTGTGAATGGATGGATTCACATCAGAATAGGATTCTGATGGCTAAGGGAAAAGGAATTTTTCAATATTTTGTGTATGGGGGGTGCCCTTGAAATGAAGAGGGACTGCAGGCCCCTTTGATTTTAGTCCTGGTTTTGCCACTAACGGACTTCATTACTTTTCACAGGCCACATCCCTTTTACCGGCCCCAGTTTCCTCGTAAAATAACAAGAGTAGTAGGGGGAAAAACCTATTTAAAGTCTTAGAACTGATTCAGATTACTTAGGGAGAAAATGAAGAGAGAAGGAAAGGGCCCCAGGGTCTCTGAAATCTGGAACTCTCCTACACTGAGTGTTTTGGAGAGAGGCACCAGCAAAGGAGAATGGAGAGCAGAAAAAGAGAATGTTATGTCCTGAAAACCAAGAGGCGGAAGCCAACTAAGGAGAGTGCTGAGGACCCAACCTTCTGAGCTGAACGCTGAGAGGTCCAGTGTCCACTGACAATACGGAATTGTTGGAGGCCTTAACGCAAGCCATTTCAACAAATGAGTAAAAAGCCAGACGAAAGCCAGTTAAAGGGTAAGCAAACAAAATCGTTTTTGATGCTTTTATAAACTGCACAAGCTTATTCCAACCCACAGCTGGTCTAATTGATCACAGCCCTTCTCAGATTTGACCCTCAGGGCTCTAAAGCACTTAACCAAGCCCACGACTCCTCTGGCCTCCCAAGGTTGTTCTGAAAGTGCTTTGTAAACAAAGACACCGAACAAACGAGTGGGGCAACCGTTGGCTTTTATTATTCTATGACACTATTACTGTATTCATTTCGTACTCGCAAGGCTCCCTAAACACCTACATTTTCTTAAATTGGGAGCCACCCAGCGAGAATTTACCAATCCGGCTTCCTCGCCCGGAACCCTGCCAGTCCCTGCCCCACTCTCAACCCCTCACCTCGCCAAATCTTTGACCTGGGAAACTCAATTGCGTCATTCCAACCCGGAAACAAAGAAGGAGGGACGGGGTGGTGGGAGGCAGAACGCGGTTGTCCCTTCTGGAGGCTCTGAGCGCAGGCACTGATCCTCCACGGACCGTTTGCGCTGCCCTCCTAGGAAGGGCGGGACGGTGCCTATTTCCCTGACGGACAGAGTACGGGTGCCGGGCGGGCTCTCGCGGAAGTCCATGCGCCATTGGGAGGGCCGCAGAAGCTGCTCTGTGCCCTTGTTGCCGAGGGCCTCTTCCTGGGTCACTCCTGGAGCAGGGGCCGGACTGGGGCTGACACCCGGGCTCCCGCGTGGCCCTCTCGGCTCCTGTGTGACCTCCTCGCGGGCGGAATGTGGCGATTACGCCGGGCCGCCGTGGCCTGGTAAGTGCGGGCTCCGACCCGGCCCCGTTATTTCTGGGGCCTCCGGAAAATCGGGTTATCCCATCGCTGCCTCCAGGATGTGCACATAACTGTCGGGTCAGGCGGAGGGCGGTTGGAGGATCCCGGGGTGTTGTTGAGGCCCCGTAGTTCCAGGAGCCCTGCCTGGGCTAACCTGAGGTGCCGGCTGCAGTACCCGCCCTTGTGCGTGTTTCTGTGCCACCCGAAGATTCTGGGCTCCTTTCAGTCTCGGCCTGTCTCTGTTGTCCTTCTGTTCCTGCCCCCTTTCACCTTTCTGTCCTCGCTGTTATCTCGGTCTCTGGTTGCGTCTTGGGTCCGCCTCTCCCTCCCCAGTCTCTGGTTCTATTCTTGGGTCACCCTCGCCGTCTGTCTCTTAACTCTTTTTCTTCTCCCTCCACGCCAGGTGTGCGTTGCTTCTGCAGGTATTCTTCCTCTGCCAGGGTTCAGACTCTGCCTCTTGCCTTAGTCCTCCGGATAGACTTGCTTTGGATTCAGATCAGAAGCAGTGACGCAAATGGTGTCAGAGATGATGATTAGAGATCTACCCCCTTAATAGCAGCTTTTTAGTGTGTAGGGAGGAAGACTTGCTTTGGATGCGAAGTGGTGAAGATAGCACCAGCTTTCGAATCACACTTATTTTTGCCCTGGCCTGCTTTAATCCTAAGGCGAAAATCATAGGAGGTGTTTCATTTTTGTGGGTCACGTTAGACATTTTACTGAGATTTAAATTTGACTTTTTCTCTTGACACGTATTTGTGTTCTAATATCTTTAGATACTTCCAGGCTTAACTCATTGCTGCAGGCTTTTAAGAAGTAACATGCGTCAATTAAGGTTGGAAAATCTTGGTTTTCCTGAATTAGCCTCTAAACACCTGCCTTGCCTTTTTTTCCAGAACGTTGTTTAAATGGTATAGGTAATGTATAGTGTTTATAAGGAATGGAATCCATTTGTTTTAGGAAGGTTAATTTGAGTCTGTATTTAGAACTAGTTGACATACAACAGTTACAGTCAATTAGAATAATTGAATAATTATTTCTAATTTAATGGAATTGGAGTTTTTGAGTAAATCCACTGCCCTTGATACTGCAGTAAATTATTTACTCCTTTTTTCATTTCTACTCTTCACTATTTCCTGGAGAGACATATCTAATTTTATTTAAATAAAAAGAAAAAAGACTTTGCTGAAAATAGCATACTTCATTGGAACAATTAAGGTATGTGGGAAAACTTTAAAAATTGACCTTAACAACAACTGATTAATAACTGATATATTTGTTAATTCAGGTGGATGCTGTTGGCCTAAATTATTTCTAAAGTTACTATGGACTCCAGAGAATTGTGGCTTAAAAGTGTCTTCTATTGCTCGCACAGTTTAGCTACCCTGTAGAAGTAGAGATGTGGAAATTAGAAGCCTCAGCTCTGAAATTTGTCTTTTGCTGTATTTTGCAAAGAAGAATACTCGTTACAAAGGAGTACATTTATATTCCTACTAAAAAAAATTTTTTATGTTTATTTATTTGTGAGAGAGAGAGTGAGAGAGAGTCAAAGTGCAAGCTGGGAAGGGGCAGATAGAGAGAGGGAGACACAGAATGGGAAACAGGCTTCAGGCTCCGAGCTGTCAGCACAGGGCCCGCTCCGGGACTGGAACCCACAAACTGAGATCATGACCTGAGCCAAAGTCAGACACTTGACTGACTGAGCTACCCACGCGCCCCTCAATTCCCATTCTTTTTTTTTTTTTTTTTTAATGTTTTTATTCATTTCTAGGAGAGAGAGAGAGAGAGACACAGTGTGAGGAGGGGAGGGTCAGAGAGAGAGAGGGAGTCACAGACTGAAACAGGCTCCAGGCTCTGAGCTGGCAGTCAGCACACAGCCCGACGCGGGGCTCGAACCCATGAACCGCGAGATCATGACCTAAGCGAAAGTCGGACACTTAACCGACTAAACCACCCAGGCGCCCCTCCCATTCTTAAACAGATAGGAACATAAACATTTGTTTTGACATGCATATCTAAATACCTACTCACGGACATGTAAGATCAACAACCACCATTTATTTAGGTGCAATAACTATTTGTGTAAACTTGTTGAAAAACGAGTAATGTATTAGGAAATGGTATCGAGGTTAAAAGAGATGGTAGGGGAGAGAGAATAGATGATTTCAGGGAGCAGCAGGGAGCTTGTTTTGCATCACATTGATTCTTAGTTTGGCCAAGTGTAGAATTCTATATTCAAAATACTTTTCCTTCTGAACTATAAAGGCATTGCTGCATTTTTCTCTAGCATCGTTTGCTAACAAACACAGATTCTCGGGACAATCTGATTTCTGTGTGTTTGTAGGAATCCTGTTTTTCCCTTCATGGAAGCTTCCAGGAGCTTGGCCTTATCTTTAATTTCTCAAGGCTTTGACCATGCATGACCCCCGCCCCTACAACCTCCACCCCAAATCTGGCTTGGTACTCAGTGGGCCTTTCTGGTAAAAAGATTCTTTCTTCAGTTCTGAGAAGTTTTTCTCATTTCTTTATTTTTTTCCTTTCATTTTTCCTGTTCTTTTTCTTTTGAGACTTCTATTAAATGAATTGGTCTTCTTTGATTGATCCTGGAAGTCCATGATTTGCAAAATACTCATCATCTGTTTAAAAAAAAAAAATAGGCATGTACCGTCGTATGTGTATGTATACACTTTATATATATCTTCTTACTAATTAATGACTTACATTATAATTCTCCCTTAACACAGTCTTGAAGGATGAGATACAAAAAATACTGTATCTAGAAGCTTTGGTACTTTCTTCCTGAATCCCAGTGGGTCATTTTGTGCATCCAATGGAACACATCCCACATACCTCCCCACTTTGGATACCACTCCTCTGAGTCACTTAACTTCTTTCTTATGGTTTCCACCTTTTTTTCTTTATGTTCCAAGTTCTGAAGAATTTCTTTAATACATTTTCTGGTGTTGCTATTCCTTTTTTTTTTTTAATTGGCTATTACAGCTTTGATTTCCATGAATTCCTTTTTAACATTTATTAAACTTTTTTTTCAAGTTTATTAATTTGAGAGAGAGAAAATATGAGCTCGCAAGCAGGAGGGGGCAGAGAGAGAGAGAGAATATATCCCAAGCAGGCTCTGTGCTGTTAACACAGAGCCTGACTTAGGTCGTGATCCCACAGACCATGAGATCATGACCTGAGCCGAAATCAAGAGTTGGACCCTTTACCACCCAAACGTTTATTAATGTCTTAAACGTAATTTAATTCAGTAAAGTTTGTGTTCTTCAGTTACTATTTTTAGCAAAAGCCTGCTTTTATTTTATATCTGGAATATCTTGAAGAAGCCTCCTGAGAACATTAATTAGAATTTCACACCTCTGCCTTTTCCAGGATTCATAATGTTGTTGATCTTGGTCATCATTTTAAGAACTGGTTTTCTGTAAGAATGCGGTTTTCTCATCATATTTAAACATGAAGAACTAATGGTTGACCTGCCATGTGTGGGTTACCCCTGAATGAGCAGGCTGATTTGGTGTTTTAGGTATAGGCCCTATCATCTAGCAGGTTTCATTTTAGGGCTTTTAGAGAGTAGGCAGGCAAACTGATCTCATTACAGACACCAGTGTTGTTAGGGCCTACTCTGGGAAGACCCCCTCCCCCACTGCTGCCACTCCTCCCCTCCACCCCTGAGCGCCCCCCGGCCCCCCAGGAGCTTTAGCTCTTCCCTGCCAAGTTGTTCATCCTGGGGGCAAGTGTTAACGTTCAGCACCACTGGAATGGGGTAGAGGGTGACACAGCCTTTCCCCAGATGGTGCTTCAGTCAATGTCAATTTCTTCTCCTCTTTTTACTCTCTTACGTGTATCTCAAGAGGACCCTGATGGGGAAAAGAGTCTCTCCCATCTGGGCATTGATCTTTTAGAGCACCACCATGAATTGGAAGCTCTGGAAATAATTCTTGAGGATACCTTCCCCAGTACTAGGATTTTGTTCTGAGTCAGTTATCTCTTCCAGGGACTAAATTGAAGAACATTTTACATGTGGTTCCTGATTTGGACAACCAAATACTCTCCTTTTCTTGGCGTCACTCACAGCTATTGTTGCCACCGTTGTGGAAACAGGAATTTAAGGGGTTTGGAAATAAAAGAAGAAGAAAATAATGAAAAGCCAAAACGTCTTAGCAATATGACTACTTGGGTCTGGAGTTTATCTGTTTGGATATATATTTAGATTAACTCCTTTCTTTACAAAAGCAAAGAACTCTTGAGGGATAAAGGGCTACTCATTGACACATTAGTAGAGGTTAGGGCAGTTAGTGCTGGAATGACATTTCTTGAGCACTTACTCTGTGGTCATTGCTAGCTTCTTTCGCCTTTCGTTTTGTTTTGGTTTTGCTTTCCCAAGAACGTATGTTCATTCAGCAGATTTCTTAAGTGTCTACTGCTTGTGAAGCATTGGGCTAGGCCGTAGAAGGGCAGTGGTAAGCCAGACAGACAAGACCCCTCCCTGGCCTCATGAAGATTGCAGTTTATTGGTAGAGGCAAATATTAATCCAATAATTACATTATTATGTAATACAGATTTTATGTGCATCGAAGAAAAGCACAGGGAGCTGAGAACTGTAGCGGGGGGACCCCAGTTAGAATGTAGATGCCAAGAGAGGAGGGAATGCTGAGGTGAAACCGTTTGTGACCAGAGCTACCAGCAGTACCAGGAGGTAGTAGGTAGAAAAGTTTGCCCGAGCACAGTGGGCCTCAGGGCCCCGAGATGGGAAAGATTATGGCGCGATCCAGGAGCTCCATGAAACCTGGTCTGGGTAGAGCTCAGAGGTGAGAGGGAGAGAGCAGGGCTGTGTAGACCAGGCGTTTGGATTTTTATTCTAAATGCAGGAGGAGACTTTGAGGGGATTTACGCAGGCGAGTGACAGTGATCAGGTCGGCATGTCAGAAGAGTGCCCTGGTGGTGCTGTGCAGAACACGGCTGCCCAGACTGTTGCAGCAAGCGCAGGTAGGGGCGGGGGTAGTGGAGACTGGCCATCGGGGGGTTGGAGGTGTGTGAGAAGTAGAAGTCCCAGAACTGGAGAATGAGGAAGGTTTCAGGACGGAGCCCAAGTTTTGTGGCTGACGCGACTGGATAGGTGCTTATGCTGTTTCCTGAAACAGGAAGTCCTGGGCGAGGGCCAGGGTTCGGGGGGAGGGAGGAGAGGTCGTGGATTTGAACATCTTGAATTTGAGATACTTTTTTGATGTCTAAGGGGTGGTGTTTAGGAGGCAGTTGGACACAAGGATCTGGAGCTTAACTATTTGTGTTAGACGTGTAAGTTGTGAGAAACGTGGGTATGTAGATGACAGTTGAGGAAATGGGTGTGGATAAGGTTGCCTGCGAAGAGTGGGTAGGCTGAGAAGACAAGTGACTTCACATCTAAGCCCCGTGAACTCCCGACATTTAAAAGGTGGTTGGGGAGGAGGTGCCTGAAGAGGTGTGGCCGGTGAGTGGGAGTAAAGCTAGGGACTGCTGGGACCCGGGGCGGTCCAACAGGCAGGGGTGTCAGCACTGGCAGACGTTGCTGGGAGAAAACGGGAATCGAGAAAACAGGTGCCCACTGGAAGCCTTCAGGGCACTCGGGGCCGTTTTACCGGAGTGAGACAAATGGAAATCAGGTTGGTTTGCCTTTTAGTAGAGTAGTTATGGAGCAGCCACCTGGGGTCTGTCTTTCTCTCTGTTAAACTGACAGAGACTTGACCAGTGATTCCTGAAAAGGCAGGAGGAACTCAGAGGAACAAGGATTTGCCTGTGAAAGGAGGAAGATACTTACTGTGATCTTACAGGGCTTGTGGGGAGATGGGTGGGTGTCGATGTGGTAGGTTAGCAACAGCAAGTGTCCCTCTGATGGCTTCCATTTTCTCCCAGGAGTCGGAGGAAGCATGGGGAGATGTGGGAGGGTAGAGGCGGGTGCGATACATCTGAAATAGCCCTAGCAGAGAGAGGAAGGATGAATTGATAAAGTAAGATGGCCACGCTTCTTTTTAGGGCCTCGCTGAGACGTCTCTCCAGTTGGGTGTGATCTTCTTCAGTAATGCTTCATTCCCGGGGTACAGGCTTAAAGTGACAATAAGGTTCATCTAGGGTCTGTGCGTTGCCAAATAAGTGTAACAAAAAGTCAGGGGGCAAGGGAGTTTAGAGTATTTACAAAAGAGCCTTTAAGACTGTGAACCAGGGAATTTATAAGGTGGCTAAGTAGGTAAAGAGATAAGGTGGAGACTAATAGGTTAGGGAGAAGAAAGAAGTTTCCATGACTTGGTTGCTCCTATAGGGCCCAAGGCGGTTGTAGTGAAGGGGATAATGGTCTGAGAAGAAGATACTTGAATTCGTGGTTATTGACAGTAACTCTGATGGAGATTTAATCCCATTGTAACAGACCAAAAACAACTGAGGCTTTGGTAAATTCGTAATTTGCCCTCGATTGCACGTGAGTAAGCAGTGCAACTGGACTGGAACCGGAGTTTATCCTACTGAGTGGCTGTGAGGATAGAGTTGAAAGAAGTTTGGGCCAAATGCTACAGAACCGTGGGCTATTCCTCCAGTTGGGTTGGCTCGTGATTGTTTTATATCTGTAAGTGGTAATCTTAGTCTCCCAGCCAACACCTCAGGATTGCTATTTTCTCTGTCCCTTGTCTCCTGTGTCTAGTCCGTCATTCTGGTATCTGCCTTTCCCTTTCTTTTCTTAGTGCTGCCACCTCACTTCAGTGTCTTCCCTTGTGTCTGTGCAACTGATACACGATCGCCTTATTGCTCCCCAAATTACCGAACACCAGGCAGCTTCAACAGCAGACATTTATTTCTCACAGTTCTGGAGGCTGTGAGCTCTAAGATCAAAGTGCAGGCGTATTTGGTGTCTGGGAAGGAATCACTTCCTGGTTCAGCCACCTTTTTTCTGTGTCCTCACATGACAGAGAGATTTGTGCTCTTCATCTCTTTATAATCCCAACACATGGGCACCATGTCCATGACCACAAACAAACCAAATTATCTCCCAACGACCTCACTTCCAAATATTTCACATTGGGGATTAGGCTTCCACATACAAATTTTGGGCAGACACAGACATTCAGTCTGTAGGATGTTGCCTTTAGTATCTTCTTTCATTACTGTTTAATTAATCTTACTGTACTCAGAACTTGCAGCCAGGTATTTTATGTGTTAATGACTTTTCCTTAATTTCCATCCCTGGATTGTCTCAGGATCCTGAGACATAGAGGAGAGGCCAAGGAAGAGCTGTTCTGAGCTGCTGGCGTTTTTGTGTTTGAAAGCAGGTTTGCGTTCATTTTGATTTCACTTTTACTGACGCTGGATAGCAGTTAATAAAATAAGTCTCCACCTTTTTTCTTTTCAGTTTCAGTTCCGTGGATTGGGATTGTTGTAGCCCACATATAGTAAATGAGAGGGCAGGCTCTGGAGTCCTACTGCCTCGGTTTGAATCTTTCTCTCAGTGTGCACTTAGACATGTTATTTGTGTGTGTGTGCGCGTGCGCGTGTGTGTGCGCGTGCGCACCATCTTTTCCTCGTTCGTAGAATGGAGGTAATACTAATACTTGCATCATAGGATTTTTAGCAGGATTAAATGAGGTAGCACGTGCCGCAGCAGTACCTGGCATGGAGTAGATGGGTAGTGTGAGCTATGGTGTGATGTAGTGTGCTTGGTCACATGTGCCCATGTGCATTTTTTCTCACACAAACTGCTCTTTTTATATCGTTTCCTTTGCATTGTTACCCAGTCTGATCTTTGTCCCATTCACATTTTTTTTCCCAGTGAGGTCTGCCAGTCCTTAGTGAAACATAGCTCTGGAATCAAAGGAAGCTTACCACTACAAAAACTGCATCTGGTTTCACGAAGTATTTATCATTCACATCATCCTACTCTAAAGCTTCAAAGACCCCAATTCAGGACATCATTTCATCAGTTCTCCTCTTTAACTAACCTTCCATTACGTAAGTTGAAGCTTTCTCCGATGAAGTATGGCTACCAGCCTCGCAGGAATTTTTGGCCAGCGCGATTAGCTGCAAGACTCTTGAAACTTCGGTATCTCATACTAGGATCTGCTGTTGGCGGTGGCTATACAGCCAAAAAGGTGAGTGTAACTTTCCGCTGCTTTTCCAGTTATTTTTAGCATGATTATTTGAAGGTTTTATAATGCAAACCATTTTTCTTTAGTGCAGGACAATATAGTTAGGTATTTAAAAATTTATTGTGTATCTCTGCCACGTGCCAAATTATTGTAATGTTGCTAATAGGAAAATGCTCTTGGAATCTTGGTTATCCTTATAGGAGGTGAGAATGGCCTAGTGGAAGGTGCATTGGGGTGGGCTGAGGTCACCTAGGTTTGATTTTCAGCTTGCCACTTAGTAGCACAGACAGGAAAGTAGGTGTCTGCTAACACATCCACTTTTTGGCAGCTTTGGGAGCAGAGGCAAGGTATCCTGACCCCTGGTTTGTCTTTCTTCTAGTCCACAGTATTGTTTAGCTAAATCATGAAACCTGTGTGAAATAAATATATTTTGAATTTTTACATTTTCCATATTTAATAAAGGGACAATTTACATGTTTTATACGCTTGCCTACTAATTTGTCTTCAGAGGAACTGAGGCTATTTTGTTTCAAAAAATTTTGAACATAGTATATCGCTCTTTGTAGATTAGCATGTTTTAATTAGATAAATTAAGGCAGTTTTCCTTTATCTTTTGTATGACATTCGGAACACTTGATGGACATATTTTCTTTTTTTTTTTAGACTTTTGATCAGTGGAAAGATATGTTACCTGACCTTAGTGACTATAAATGGATTGTGCCTGACATTGTGTGGGAGATTGATGAGTACATCGATTTAGGTTTGTATCATCAACGTTAAAATACATTTTTGAGGGGTCATATCTTCGGGAAAGAGGAATAGTGGTATTGAAATAGTTTCTTCACTTACGAGTTCACTGTGTAGCAGTTTTAATGCTGAAAATAATTGAATATCGAAGAAAAAACTGGTAGGAAAAAAATAACCCCGTCGTCCATCACTTTCACATAGCTACCACTATCCTACTAGACATTTTCTTTTGATTGTACCTAGTCTGTGTATCTGGTTAACATTTTAGTTTCCTTTTTAAAAGTTATGTGGCCATAGTGAACATGCACTTTAGGCTTCTTTGTTGCCCAACACATTTGTTAACCAAAGCAGCCTTTTTAGACCTCACTTTCAGCATTCTGTCTTGTTACCCGAAACAGATGCGCCATAGCCCACCTGACTATTTATTTTTTAGTGTATACCTTGGTGACTTCTGCTTTCTGTAACCAAGTCCCTCAAAGCCTGCTAGAGTCCTTAGTAATTTCTTCCCATCATCTGGTACTGTTCTCCTTTTTCTGTAATAGGTAGATTAGAGAAAAAGTATATTCAATAGTTCTGATTGCCAGTAAGCTATGGTGATTTAAACAAAATTTTTTTGAATGAAAGTATTTTCCTCAGTCTTCTTTTTAGTCTTTGTTTAATTTCTTAGGTGTATATGGGCGTGGAATTACTCTCTGCATATACTTATAGCTCTTACAGATGAAACTGTGCCGCACTGAGAGATCTATAGCATTCTTTCCATGTCTTTCTGATCCTCACGTGGAGAGCTTTTTACCTTGCCATAGTTGCCAGCACCACAGAGCGGGGCTTGGGGTTGGGTTCTGAAGCTGCACCGGCCAGCCTTCAAGCCTGACCCCCCACTTCTTAGCTGTTGTGCGGGCCCATCTACTTAACCTCAGTGCCCTCGTTCCCCAGCTGTAAAGTGGGTTTGATGATAACTGTTTTGTGGGGCTCCCTTGAAGATGAAACAGGTGTTTTTCAATTTTTTCTCTGATTCTTGGCCTCTTTGCTGTGACTTTCTCCTTAAAAGTACTTATGATTCCAGTACAGCATTAACATTGTTAACACAGTACTGATAGTTCATGGCATCTAACTTATAAACCAAGAGTATCCATCTAAGCCATACATTTGGTGGGTCTTTAAAAGCATTTCATGGCTTATGGAGTATCATCACAATAATACATTGTTTCAGATATAATTGTAGTTGTAATAGGGAGAAAAATGGAAAAGTATTTTAATTTAAATTTGTATATGATGATTATTTCTGTTTTGTCAATGTTTTAATAGTCAGATTCTTATTCTGAAAATTTTTTTGTCTTCTCCAGAGAAAATTAGAAAAGCACTTCCTAATTCAGACGACCTTGCAAAATTGGCCCCTGACTTTGACAAAATTGTTGAGAGCCTCAGTTTACTCAAGGACTTTTTCACCACAGGTAAGGAAGGACCTGTTTGATCTCACGTGAAATGTCAGAAACCCCAGAGGAAAAATACTAAGATGTATTCATTTGTTCATTCCTGGTTTTTAGATGAAAACATCTAGTACAAATGAAAACAGGCTTTTGAAAAAAAGACACACAAAGTTTGGTTGCTCAGTGGTTTTAAATTTTGGTCAGTGCAACAAAATGAAAATTTGTAAGAGGTTAAACATACGTGGCTTTAGTCAGTGAGGGAAAAAACCTCTTGTTCCTGACAGGTAGATGAGACTTCCTCTGTGCTTGCTTTTCATAATTGGTCAGAACCAATTGGGTGATTTTAAAACAAATTTAATTATGATGGACCATAATGAGTAGAATTTACTAAGGTTTATCGTGGCATATTTGCCCAATCAACACCCTATCATGGTAGCACTCTGAGATCTCAGACACTTGTTTGCTCATTCCTGTCAAATTTTACATTTCTATTTCCCCTTTTGCTGATTCTTCACAGGTCACAAATTGGTTAGTGAAGTCATAGGAGCTTCTGACCTACTTCTCTTGTTAGGTGTGTAAACAGACATTTTTGCTGACCTTAACATGCCTTTTAAATGCTTCTAATAAACTAGTTGCAAGTAAAAATTGCAGACCAAATTTATGCTGCTTACGCTGAATTTTAAAACTCCGGAACTCTATTGGGCAAATTCCTTATCTTACAGGTGAAAATAAGAAAATAATTATTTTGCAGTCAAACTAAAATTCCTAAGGATGTATCTGTAAGATTAAAAATATTAAAAAGAAAGTTTGTTTAACCAAAATATTTTCTTGAAATTGATCTGATTGTTTCTGATAGTTGAAATGAACAGTAATTTTGGTTTGTGTCATCTGTCCTGTCACCTTTGACATTTTAAATTTATTTTGTTACTGTATGTGGTCTGTAACGGCAGTAAGTACTCTCCTGGAAAATAATCTTCATCAAAGATTGTCTTGTTTAATTGTGATTTTCAGTGATTTTTTTAAAAGAGGTTACACATGTCCTATAATACTTAAAAAGTTTTTTTGCTTAGGTTACCAATATGTTCCTAAAAATAATAATTGTTTTTAATTTTCACAAAAGTGGTTCTGTTATAAAAATCCATTTGCCTTTAAATTAACTAGACATAATTTGGAAGTTGGCCTCTTGACCTCACTGGAGAATTTAAAGGACTGCTTATTTATCTTTAAGGTTCACCTGGAGAAACAGCATTTAGAGCAACAGATCATGGATCTGAAAGTGACAAGCATTATAGAAAGGTAAGTATAAAGGAGAATTCTTCACATAGGTAGTCTTGAAAGAGTTAAAAAAGTTTTTGTCTACCTGAAAGGTTTGAAAACGGTAACATCTGAGGAGCAAATATAAAAGCATCTAAGTAGAGGTGTTAATCTTGGTACAAAGTAAAAGGTACTGTGTGAGAGTTCTAGAAATGTAATTGGAGAAGCCTATTGCCTTCAAATATGTTGTGAAATACTAGTTTGAACGATTGGCTTCAACAAAGGGTCTTGTTGTTAAATATATGTGGGGAAAGCTGATATAAGTAAAACAAGCAGGCTTTTCTTTCCCCTAGGATTTCTGTGTTGTAAATCCCAGGAGAGGTCAACGTGTACAGAGTTTTCCATATATATTTAGCAACAGAACCCTTTTTCCATGAAATATATTCTAGGGACTAATGTTTCATGGCATACACTTAAGGGAAATATTAAAGGAACAGGAAATGGGTTATTAGGGGATAAATTGATTCTGTTACATTAGAAGTCAGCAGTTGTATATGGAGTTATTTAGGGTATGTTAATTTCAGTACTTTGTTAAAATCCACATGAAAGTTTTAGGAGAACTGCTAATTAAAATAACCTATTCATTGCTCTAGTTACATTCATCTATTAACCTGACATTTTCTTAGTCTTCATTTTTTCATCTTTTAGAATTGGTAAGTTAACTGGTTCCCTCCAAGTTTTCCTTTAAAAAAATAGTATTTAGGTAAATAGATATTTGAAAAAAATGTTCTATGAACATTTTAAAATTAAATATGGAATATGTAGCTTTTATACTGAAAGTTATGGCTTTCGTAAATTGAAAGGAAGTAATTTTGTTTATTTCAAAAGCAGAAAGAAAAGAGTTCCTATGTGTAGGTGTCTATCTTTCTCTTTGTCCTTTATCTTTGAACTTTTTACATGATATTCCAAGTTTAATTCTACAGTTCCAAAAAAATTTTCTCTTGCCTTTTAACTAGATCTTTTTTGGGGGGAGAAAACTTATTTTAAAGTGTGTGTGTGTGTGTGTGTGTGTGTGTGTGTGTGTGTATGTACGTGTATTTGCCTTTTAAGTCGATCTTCTTTAATACCTTTTCCATTGGCATTTCAACCAAAGGGACACTCTTGACTCTTCATGCTACTAGGGGGTTGGGGGGAAGGATTCTAAATAGAAATTAGCCTATTATACACACCTTATTTTGAACCGAAGCCTTGGCCCTAAATGCAGGTAGATTTCACATGCCGAGAGGCGCTGATCAAAGGGGAAAAGGAGCCCCTCTTACAGCTTTAGCAGTGTGGTTTCTTTTCGCCTAGAAAAGGTGGGCGAGGTCTGCATCTCCTGGTGTTCTCTGGTATGGTTCTCCGGTATGGTCTAGGATCACTTTGGCGAATGAGAAACATGTTTCAGGGTCTAACTCAGATACTTTCCTTACAATCATGCTAAAGTGCTAAATGAATAATTAACAAATGATCAGGAGCTCTGCAAAATAGAAGAAGCAAGAGAATGGATCACTGGGAATTTAATTATATTCACAGATTTTATTTTATACAATCGACATGAAAGCAAATTTATTGCTTTATTTCATAATTTACTTTGCTTGAAGGTAAATACCCTCATACATTATTTCCTTTTAACTTTTTCATAATTTATGATCATTATCTTGCCCATTAAAAACTCAGCAATTATTACTAAATCTAGAGTTTTAATTAAGCTGCTTTCAATACAGGCTAAATTAAATTGTAGCCAATGCTAGTATAAAAATTTACTACACAGAAAAGTATTTCCAGCCTCAACTAGTGGTTTTAAATTCTGTTAATGTGCCACATTATGTGTTTCAAGACTTGACTTTTACCTATAATACTTGAAGATAATGAACCACTCAGACAAGATGCAAATAAACTGACTTTAATAGACTTATCTACAAATTAGTGGTTGAATGTGAGCATGGAAGTAGAGACTTCCTTCGCAGAAGCCTTTTTGAAATTACTCTGAAACGTTAAGTTTGGAAATTTGAGCAGTAATCATGGTGTTAGGATGACATCCAGAGATTAGCTGATACTTTTTTGATTGGTTCAGAATGGTGTCTGAGGGTCCCAGATTGAAGGTGGTATTCAGAGTTTGAATACATTAAGCAGTCATACCTTAGCTTAATGGTTGTCTGGTTTATGCCAAAATTTCTGGCCAGATTTATACTAGAAATGTAAAAGTAAATGTGAACCCAATTTTTTTTTTAAGTAATAAGCTGAAAACATTTCTATAACTAGAACTAAAAAATAGTTTCCTTTCTAATAAAACACATGTGGAGAGTGTGGCTAGGTAGAGAAAGTTAGGACCTGCGAAGTCAACTGAAGTGAAAGTTGCGGAGTTGAGAGCACACACGTCAGATCGTTTGAGTTAAGTCCGACAGAATGGATAACACTGTGACCTGCCTACCTCTGGCTCCCGGTTGGGGTCACTGGACTTTTAGGCGCTCTGGAAAGTTGTAATTGAGGTCTTCAGAAAGTCTAAAAAAGCAAAAGACATATATTTCTGCCTAATACTGCGTAAGCTAACATAAACATCAGTTTCTTTGATTTTGTCTGGATCTGTATCCATTCAGCTTGTAGACAGAAGGTATGTACATCATGTTGACCAGAAGTTCAGATATGTATTATCAAGAAATTAAAAACATGGAAAACTATTGAGAGCACTTTTCAATAAATGCTTTTAGTTAAAAAATTTTTTAATTTGTATCCACTGGAGAAAAATATTAGAACCCTCCGTGTGAGCTGAATAATATCCTTGAGACCTGGAGACCTTCAGAAATACCTGAAGGCCATTGAAAATTGAAGTGGTGAGCCTGTTTTAATGAGTAATTTGTAAATCTGCAGATTTCTTTATATTGATCATAGCATAGACAGGTGACAGGACCACTTAGTGAATCTTCTTTTTTGGAGTCAGTAAGATTGTCTGTTCTAGTGAAAATTAAATGAGACCTTATATGTATCTGTGCCTCTGTTTTACCATGTTTCTGATCGCTCATAAGCCTTTCACAGAAGTAAGCAACATGGTCATTCTGAAGGTTACAAATGCATTGCTAATTTATAGAAAATAGTTGACGGACCTTTTAAAAGTCTATGTCTTGAAGAGTAGAATTATTGTTTTAAATATAGTTATTAGACAGTAATTAAATTTCCTCCTTTTACATGCTACTCTAATTCTTACTTTTGTGGCTTTATTTCTGTTGTACCTTGCAGCTGAAATCTCTCTCGTCCCTCTTCTAATTTTTACTCATCCTTAACGCCTAGCTCTGTTGTCTCCTTCGTGAAGACTTCCATAACTGTTTTAGTTCCATGAATTATATCCTAAACCAAGAAAACAGATGCCAGAGGAAACGCTATTTACTTTGGTTTACATTCTTTATTTAATGGCCTGTTTCTGTCATAAAATCTCTGTTCTCAGAACGCCGAGGATAAAGCAGAGCTTTTAGCAAGATTAATTGATTGATTTATCACAGCAAAAGAGAGGCTAATTTAAGTAAATAAATTTCATTAATGCCAACAAATAGGCCCCCAGATTTTATACAATAGGTGTTTTGATCTGATTACCTGTAGATTTCTCTTGGCCTTTGATATTTGGCACCTACTGAAGAGAACGGGAATGGGACGGGGGTACACGTGCTTGGTGTTCTAAACTGCAGTGAAGCAGTGTTGCTTAAGTAGGATTTATATTTCTAGGGCTCCTCCTACAACAAATACTGTTGTAACCTGGGCAAAATGAAATTCTCACAACCAACACCATCAAGTAACCACAAATCAGTAAACTTAAGTTTCCTAAGCAGCTAACTAGCAACTGTACTAGATTAGACTCTTAGCCAGGAAGCCAACCCACTTGTGCACCAGAGTGTAGTAGTGGTAAGTAGAGGGGTCAAAGGAAGAAAAGCAGGGGAGATCTGCAGGAAGAAAAGTGGAATGGCAAAACAGGCCATCTTATTCCTTCATAAGCACACTGTACTTTTATGTCATTTAAGAAACGTTAAGTAACTATATACTGTGTACGTAATACTGTTTTTAGGTCACAATTTAGAATAAAAGGGATTTGGTGGAAATTGTAATACTGATAGTAACTGTCGGTAATGTATGTATTAGTGGGAGTAGGAAAATAGTTATTTTTAGCTAATCAAATAGAATTGTTTGAATTTTAAAAAGTAGTTTAATGCCTAGGAATATTTTTGAAAGGAAGGGGAGAGAAGTCTTCACTGTCGTAAAGTTCTTTTCTGAACCCAAGTTACTTCTAAAACTCATAAAGCAGGGGTTGGCACACTTTTCCTTAAAGGGCCAGGTAGCGAATAGTTTAGGTTTGCAGACTTTCAGGTCTCTGTGGACTACTCAGTTCAGCCCGTCTTCTTAGTAATTCAAGTATGCCTTCTGATGTGTTGCACTGTTACCCTTTTCCTTTTGTAAACGTGGCTTGAACCTGATGGAATCAAAGCAACTTTGGAAATAATAAAACAGTCACATCAACGGGATGGTATCAGGTGCAGACCGTGTAGTCACACTGTCAGCATTCAGATCGTGCCCTTCCTGCTTTCTGAGCTACGTGATCTGGAAAGAGATCAAACTCATTGAGTTTCTGATTTCCTCTTTTATAAAAGGGGGAACCCTACTTGACAGGATTGTTTTGAGAATTTTGTATGCCCTTTATCACAAGAGCTGCACATAATAAAAGTAAATATTGGCTATTAGGGTAATGCTGATGACAGTGATCATTATTTCCTTTCATTTTGAATTATTGCACCAGTTAATTGCCTATTAACATTATTTGATTAATTTCTTCCTCTTAATTTCTGTGGAGTCTGTTCTGAGGACTGAAAACTGGAACATGGATCATGGGGCTGATGTGTAGCTTATGTACAGAATACACATTTGTTCGGAAACCCAGTTTGGGTTTTATACTGGAAACTTTGTGTGCATTATTAGGTAAAAGTAGGTCATAATTTGATTCATTCAAGAAGTAAATGTGTGCTCAGGCCCAATTTAGGTATCAGCTAGAGCACGCATCTAACGTGTCAGACGTTATTCTAGGTACTAGGTACATACATGAACAGGATAAGGGCCCAGCTCTGCTAGGAATGTTTAAAACACTGTTAAAAATATAGTGTTTTAAATGTATTCACATATGAATGACAAATAATTTTAAAGCTATTTAAAGTCTCTCCTATCAAACTCATTAACTTTTAGATTTTCACAGCACATTCAGTTGATATTTTGGTTTTTGGAGTTACCACTGATTTTCTTGACCTGATGTTAAAATTTCTTGAAAGTCTGACAGTACTGTATGTGAAATATGAGACCGTGAGAGACGCAGTGTCAAATTGGCAGTAACTAGGAGACCTTGAGAGAGTGCACCATCTGTGGCTGTTTATTATGTTTACTGTTTATCGTCATTGACAATTACCATGTTTTATATGCAACATATATGATTTTAACAGAATTATGTGCTGTTTCTGGAGAGAAAACTACCTGAGCTTGGGAAAATGTTTATAGAACAAATTGTACTTTGTGCATTTGCAGAATGTGTATTGCACAGCAGTTACACCCATTTCTTGCCCTTCCTCACTCCACACGGCCTTAGCTCAGAAGCTGTACAGCCCGTCCCTCCGTGTTTAGGGTGAAATTCAATGTCCAAGATTAGATAGAGGTCACCTCCTTTAGTCAGGTAGTATAGTGTAAATAGCATTCTCCGTGTCTAATTCTTATTTTCTTCCTACCTTTTTTAGGAGGTAACAGTTAATTTCAACCGTCTTCACATAATAGTGCTGCAGTAACTGACTTGGAAGGAAAGTGAGGTGTCACTAGAAAGAGGGCATTTTCTTGTAATAGATATTAAGTATTCGTCATATAATCTGTATACAGATTGAAGCAGTGGATTAGGGAAGGATGTTTAAGCTGTAAGGAAAAAAGAATCTTGTACCTGATAGACCAGCAAGCGTAGTTAAGAAATGTGGAATATTTGCTCACTGCTTTGACATCTTATAAGACAGAATACTGGTGGTATGCTAATTACAGCACAGGTACACTGCTCTATAAGCCAGCACAGGAAACCTTTAAAAGAGTATTGCTCTGAGACGACTAAACACTCAGGTGATTAGAAGTGATGATGGTAAATAACTAAAAATCAGCTGGATTATTCTGCTTTCTGCTTCATGAAAAGCAATGATACAGAAAATGAAAAAAATGACAGATAATCAGGTAAATGATGAGAGTAGTGAGGGTAGTGAGTTGGCATTGTCTTTCTTTGATAGGTATGTCAATGACCATAACGTCTTAATTTAAGAGATACATCTTTAAAGATAAACACAGGTTTTTATAAATGTGTTTTCTGTTGAAATTGGAAACAAATGTTGACAGTTCAGTTATGTTACTTGCCATTTTGATGTTCTCTCACTTGTCATACAGAAATATCAACTAGTCTTATCCTTTGATTTATAGTAAGTCAACCAGTTTCATTATTGTTGGCATGGCCTAATGTATTAAAACTAAGAATCAAATAAAAATTCCCCAAATTATTTGCTAATACTTCCTTTTAACTTAAAGTGTCTTACTATAATAGTAGCTTTCCTATTTGTATTTGCTTCTTTTCCGGAAAACTTTCATTTATAGACGTCTTTGGGTTAATAAAGTACGTTATTAAGCCTCTGGATGAGTCTACTGATTAAAATTTGAATGTAATATTAACCAGTATTTCAAGAAACTTTCTGGTTGTACTATATGAAATATAATATTTTGGACAATTACTTTAAAAAGCTCTGAAGCTATTTGAAACTCCCAATTTAGATGATTTTAACGAGTATTAGTTTTCCTGGCTCTTTTTATTTTTATAACTCGGCAAAAATTGGGTCCATTGGTTCTCCCGGAAAACTCTGCCTGTGCAGATTAAATAGTGGCCTCATTCACTGAGGTGTCTGATTGAGAAAATATTAGGCTTGTGACACTTTCAATTCTTTCTTGTCTTTTTTCCCACATTCCTTGAGGGCTGTTATCTAATAGGCCAGCAATTAAAACTGCTATACAGAAAATGACATGTATTGGGTATCCTGGCACATGTAAATACATTGCGATAAAAACTGCACTAGTTAGCATTTCGTGATTTTTAAGTGGAATGAATTTTAAATATAGAAATGGTGATTGTGTTGTACATAGGTCCAAACTGGTTTTTTTTTATTTTAAATTTTCGTAATAACTGTATTATCTCCAGATCTTAATTATGTTCTTTTATAGTGCTTTTGCTCTAGTAATTGATATATTCATACTTATATTCTTAGAGGCCATTTTTACTGAATGTCAGAACAGCTCATAAAAAGTGAAAATTCAGTCAGACTACTTATTTTGTGTTGTATGAAGTTAAAACAGTGCCTCAAACATTATTTTTTAATTTGCAAAAAGAGAATCCTAAATTTTAGTCAGATAAACTTATATGCATAGGCATGTAGAAAATATGAACTAATGTAAAACCTTGATTAACTTGGTGCTTGGAAACTCAAATCAATAGTTTTGAGGGTCTATGGTCTTTTATTGAAGGCATCAGATATCAAAGAAGAAATACAGAATTATGATCTAATAAACTATTATGTATTCTCCATTCATTTTTTTGAGAATTAAAAGATGTCCCCCCCTTATGTATCAAGTCAGGAGCATATACTAGTTCATACTGGCAATTCAGAAATAAGGGTTGACATAATAAATTGTTAACTACAATACCACTTTTCCTTGAGCATTCCCGTTATTCAAGGTTTTACTATATATTGATATTATATATCTGGCTCATTTTGTACAGCTGTCAGCCACATTGCATTTTCTTTACACTTTGTAAACTGCTGTTTTATATTTCTGAGACATCTAATTTTACTGAGGGGGAAAAATGGAAATGTGGTACAGAGCCCTAATATATAGTGGCTTTCTAAAGGTACATAAATGCGTTTCCATTTTTGTAATAAGCTATCCATTCTTCCCTAACTTATATCTGTTCCTTGCTTGTGCCCTTGGTTTAACATTGTTCTCCTCCCCAATTTTCCTCTTCTCCTCATTGTAAACTCATGGCAGGGTCTGCTTGGTGAGCTCATTCTCTTACAACAGCAAATTCAAGAGCATGAAGAGGAAGCGCACAGAGCCGCTGGCCAATATAGCACGAGCTATGCCCAACAGAAGCGCAAGGTGATGGATGGTTTAAGGGGGCTACTGATGTATTCACATTAATCAGCCATTTCTACCAAGATCGTGTCATCTTAATCCCTTCATGGACTCTGATTATGAGAAATTATTTTTGACAAAGTAAAGATTTGAAAGATCCATAGTACAAATATGTAACTTTCCTGGAGTGGATAAACAAACCCAAAATGTTAAACATAGGAGTTTATTTTCTGAAAATGAGATGATCTGTGAGGGAGCAAGGATTTGTATTTAGAGAATTACTATGAATTGTGATTTACTTGGTCTAGTTATTGAGTCATCCTAGGTTTGTAGCCAGCTTATCTGTGGTTCTCCCAAGTTTTCATTTCTAAAATGTAAGGGATTACTGTGGATGACCACAATCTAAATTATTTAAAGAATGAAATGTATTGTTTTTGTAAAATGAATCAGCAGAAAACATTGTTATTTCTTACAGAAGAAAAACTATTCTGATGTAAATTTTTGGTGAAGTCATTTTACCTTGATTGACTCATTAAGTTTTTCCACAATCGTGAAGTCAGCACAAATAAATTTTCACCTTGGATGACTGAAGGATTGAACATAGGAAAGTTGATATAATTCAGGTTGCTAAAGAACAGATTCTAATAAAAGTCAGCATAAATCTATGCAAATGTTTGGTTATATGTACAGTCAAGAGGTCCTTAAAAGTATGCTTTTGGCTGTTAGATGATCTTATGGCGTAGATCTCAAAGTTAATGTTCTGAAGAGACTTGAGTCAAAATGAAATGAATGTAGTGATTTTAAAGTTATATTCTGAGATCTTGACATCAGCTTAATTATGTTGCATGTATTAGATCAGGAAAGGTTTAAAGCCATATACAGATTTTACTCAGGAAAAGGGATTCAGCCATTTAATTAGGTTCCTGTAAGTTCTGATAATTGAAGTCAGCCAATACCATAGATAATGACTGGGTGCAATAAATTTGCTTACTAACCTCACGCATTTGGTGATGGATAATATTTGAGAGTATGCCTCATAGTTTCATTTATCTTTTCAGTGTCATTTCCTGGCTTTTCTCAATTCCAGGGCTGTGGAATCAACTCCTGTAATATTTAGCTTTCAGCGAGTGAACAACCTAGGTGGAAATAGAAAATAAGTTATTTTCCTGTTTGGTTAAGTTAAAGTAGATGTGTTAAACCAAGGAAGGGCTTATTTTAAATGGTGCTTTAGCCTTCTCTGTTCTGTATTTTGTTGAAGTGCCATTTAAATATTCTAACAAATTGGATGCTTAAAGCGAACCATCTGTTCCTTAGCTTTGTTACAGAAAGAAGGCGAAGGAGCTACTGTATTCTGGTATGTTAGTTAGAAATATGGATAGCTCTAGCTGCAAGTTGTTCTTACGTTGTTTCATGATGGTAAAATCCTTTGAAATGAGTCCCATAGAACTGCCTTCCATTTTAAGATTTTAAGATATGGTTTAAGATTATCAATATACTTTTGAACCTGTGGGATATTACTAGTGAATAGTGTTCGCTTTCTACATTGCCCAAGGTTACTGTTCATTGGAGGCCTACTTTCTAGCCTGTTTTCGGGTTTCACGATACCATTTCATTTCTAATATTATCAGATTATCCACTTAAACTTCTTAGTCCTCATCTTCCCCATTTGTAAAATAGCAACTGATAGGACTGTACCTCCGTCTGTTTTGTTTATTAAGGCATATTTAGTAGAGCACCAAACAGGCCCACTTTGGAGTCACCTCATGTGAAGGTGAATGGAACTTTAAAAACAATTAATTCCTGCTCTTCTGTGTGGCGCCTTCCCCCTTACTACATCTTCCCCTGATTCCCTGTAGTTGGTGCACAGGTGACTTTCCAGCCCTTCACTCTCCTCACCATCCGAATCCTCATTCATGAGATTTGTGGCATTCCTCCGGTCGTGTGAGGTGTTCTTGAGGTGCAAAGCCACAGCTTTTTGTCGCTTTTTAATCATCCTTCCTTACCTTCCTGAAATGCATGTAGGCCTTCATTTTTCATCTTCTAGCAGCAGCTAATAAACTGTCCCTGTAGCTCCTGCAGGGACATAACACACATACACGGAAATGTTTACGAGCCCTTTGTATATATGTGCTTCACTATTTCAAAATGGCCACAATGGCTTAGTAGGAAGAAATACTTAAAATTTAAAAATCAGGCTTGATTTTGTGAGGAGCTAGTAAAGGTTTTTCTCTTTCAGCTTTAGCTTGTTTCTGCGGAGGATTCCGCTCTTTCTCCATCAGTTTCACAGCCCTGGAATTGTAGAAAAGCTCTGGTTTCAAGACCATTGATACCCATTTCTGTCAGGGTGAGTTTTAAATTTTATAATGCAAACAGTATGTTAAACAACAGGACAAGAACTGAACTGTCGTAAGTAGCTGAATTTTACCAGCAAAGTGCCTCAATGTGAAGTGTACCCAGATTGCTAGCTAGGGTATTGAGTAAGTGATACTTGAAAAAAAGCGTGTGTTGTTCCCTTAAGACAATATGGAAAAGTATCTTCTCAGTGTCTTTAATATTTACTTTGTAAACCTAAAGGTTTTCATCTTGTTTCCTAGAGAATATTAGGTCTAATTCTTGATTCCACCACCACCTATCTTTTAATATGATGTTAGTTTTGAGGTTCCATTAAACTGAGCAGATAGGAAGCATACTGATAAAACTGTGCATGACTTATGCCAGAAGGGCAAGTGATAAATCTAAACACTCCTAAAAATCTGAATTTATAAAAATATTAACAGGCATCATTACTAAATACTAATAATAGCATAAAGAATATAATATATATATTATATATATACATATATATATCTTTTAACCTTACATATACCCATTTCATTTCCCCACATTACCAACTTAACCTTTTATAGCCCTTGGCTTACAGTAAGCATTCTAACTTTCTATGTAATGTATTCGTCTCTTAACAATTGCCCCAGATGTAGACTAATACTGGGTTTTCTATTGTAATTTAGGATATATTTCACGAAGTCATGAAATGCATTCAAAACTAAAGCAGTTTATACTGTTTATACATTTCGTACTAATTCAGCTGCAGTCAGATGAGTATTTAATGGAAAGCAGTTAATCCAAGTACATTTTATAATGAATTGGGAATTTAATGTGCCTAACAACATTTTTATGAGTGCATTATTACAGTATTATGACATGCCATATGGAAACAAGGAGTTTCTATTTCTTCATTGGTCTTCAGGATTTTGTTCTTTGGGTCATTGGTTCCTCCCTAACTTGCTTGTTTCCTCACATTTTAGGCGACTCTTAATAATTCTTGTCCACTTTATGCAAACACAGTCCAATGAAAAATGTTCTCTCCATAAGTGTCTGCTTGCTACATAAGAATGAGGAAACAGCAATACAAAATTTGTTTTATATTCTCTTCTAATTACTGAGTCATATTTGGAGATTTTTAGGCATAAACTTTTAAGGAAAACGTAATATACTTATATCATTTGTAGCAAGCACTGTCATTTTTATTTAAAAGAAATTTTGCACATATTTTGAGAAAGTATTTGGAAATAGGAATTAAAACTGCAAAATTGCTTTTTATTGTATGGATAAGAGTTATTAATATCTACCTCAATAAGCAAATCATTTAGAATTTTTTCATCTATATTTGCTACCATGATGTCTTGATTGCTTGAATAGTCATTGAATGAAAATGAAGAAGGACTTATATGAATTTTACCTTGAGTTTTGTCTCCTATGAAATAAATTCATGTTTACAAGTTTTGATTATCAGAAATTAGACAATTCCTTTGAAAGAATGAGTGTGACAACTTCTGCACCTCACCCAGGAGTCAGAGCACAGTTACGTGGATTTGTCATAAACGACATCATTTTAATTAAAATTGATCATTGCGTTTTATATTTAGGATTGTACTGTGACTATAGCCTGATAATGCAGTAAAGTTCTATGTTGTGTTGGGGTATCTTATCTTAGAGTTATTGGCATTAATAATAGTTGGAAGTAGTTTTCACAATAGCTGTAGATTTTATCCTACTTTTGTTTTATATTTAAATCAATTTTAGTTGCTTTATTCAACTTTATTGCTACTGATGCATTCACTGTATTCTGGGCTAGCACATCCTGCACTGGAACTGAATTTAAAAACCAGCATCTGGCTCCACGTAAAGCTCGGAAAATACAGGTTCTTGCATTTATTAAATACTTCCTACTTACAGAGTAGAAGTGGGTAATATATGCTTAAAATATCACTATGACCAAGGAATTCTTTTCATTAGCTATAAATGATAGCATGTATAAGTTCCCCAAACACGTTTCTGTAGGTATCTGTGCCCTTTTTGTCCAGGCATCAGATGCCTGTGGTTGAGTACAAAACAGCCTACAAAAACGGTACTAACTGTATATTGGTTTCTTCTTTTTCGAACAAGCCATTCATCAGAAATCACTAGAATAGCATCATGAAAATGATTGCTTTTTAATGTTTTTTAAATTTATTTCTGAGAGAGAGAGAGAGAGCGTGAGTAGGGAAGTCAGAGACAGAGAGACACACACACAGAATCCGAAGACAGGCTCCAGGCTCTGAGCTAGCCGTCAGCACAGAGCCTGACGCAGGGCATGAACCCACGAACCGTGAAATCATGACCTGAGCCAAAGTCTGACGCTTAACTGACTGAGCTACCCAGGCGCCCTGAAAATGATTGCTTTTTACTTGTTAATAAAGTTATAAAATTATGAGAAGCAATTTTAGTGATGAAGATAGGTGTTTATTAATCATTAGAGTTAAAATGTGCTTTGATCAAATATGCAGATAAAGTCAGTATTTATTTTTAAAAATTCTTTTCAAAAAATGGAACTTCCTGCCCGTTTTATATAAATCCATTCCTATGGAAGTAAAATTAATTTATTTTACATGTTTAGGTGACAGACAAAGAGAAAATTGACCAGCTTCAAGAAGAACTTCTGCATACTCAGGTAATTCTGACGAGTAGAAAAAAACCAGGGATTTTCTGCTATACTCCTAAGTTTGGTGATGTGGAAATTTTTTAAGAAAGCAAAAATGGAGTGGTTTGATGATACAACCTTATCAATAAATGTAAAAAAAAAAATACAAAAGCAAATTGATTAATAGGGAAGGAAAAAGGAACTTGGTAAGTGTGGTTAACTCCTTTGTGTAAATACCTGGTTTTGAGTGAATCTTGTGCTTCTAATCTTAAAGAAGAACTGCTATGAAAAACAAAAATGAGGGGAACTGACTTGTTGTGACCTTGACTCCTTGGTCACACCTTGACTCTGTGACCTTGGATAGGCTACCAAGTGTCCCTAACTTTTGTCTCCTATAAAGACTTAAGGAAGCTAATGCTGTTGTAACATCAGTATCGGGCCTGTCGCATAATACATGCTCAGGTACTATTAGTTATTTAGTTTATATCATTTTAATTACAACATAAAATGGCATGGAGAATGGGAAGAAATTGAACTTTTGTCAAATGTGCCCATAATGAAGACTTTTTGATATAATAGGAAACACTGCTTCAGTAGAATGTGCTTAGGAATATGCTTCTTTAAATTCTTAGTATCTTAACTTTATTTCTTCAGTGTAAATAGCAAAGAATTTTCCAAATAAAATGCCAAATTTATAATAGAAAACTATAATGAATTCTGCTGTTTGTATGAGAGAATATTCATAATTTATTTTACTTCCAACATTTTCAAAGAAGCTTTAAAAATGAAACAGCTCATTTTAAATAGTCAGGAGATCATGACTTCAGGAATTTGGAAGATTTAAAGTTAGACTTAATTAAGTTATTAACCCATCTTTTTCTCACGTAATTATGGTATTATTTTGTTGCAGTTAAAGTACCAGAGGATCTTGGAACGGTTAGAAAAAGAGAACAAAGAATTAAGAAAATTAGTATTACAGAAAGATGACAAAGGCATCCATCACAGAAAGCTTAAGGTATTTTAAGTTTTTCTGAATTTCGTTAGTTCCGTAACTTTGCCATTTCACATTGTGCGTTCAGTCAATACCAGTTTTTAAAGCTGTGATATGTTCTATCCTTTTCTTTCTAACCTGATATCCTTGGGAGATAGGAAAGTCTTTCTATATGAGACATTTCACAAATTATAGTCTCCAGACATTTGTTTCATACGAGGCCTACAAAATCTTCATACTTTTAACAATCATTTCTTGTGAATCAATTTATTTTTCTGAAATACCCAGTTTATCTTTAGGGTTATTTAGGTAATTTAGGGTTCTACGGCTATAAAAACAGAAGTGTGATTTGATGGACATTTAGGTATGACTTAACTTTATTGCCACACTTGTATTTCTAGTGAATGATTAGTTTACTTTCTTTACTTTTATAAGAATTTATGTTTTTTTCTGGAACATTTCTTAGGCATTTTAAAGAATGTTTGGAAAAGTATATGCTGGGATTGTGACCATCAGCACATTGGTAATTACCATTATCAGTAAGCTAAATCTTATTATTGCCTGCTAAACCAGGCTGTATGTGCTGAATTAAATTGAAGTAATATTTTTAACTTCTATCTCACATAAGTAAACAGAACTTGTGTATAGCAAACCTACAATAAATCGTGACATATGTATTCTGAAGCCAAGGTCCCAAGATAAGTAGTTCTATTTTAACCAACATGTATTAGTAGTCTGACTCTAAATCACAACTGCATAAAACAGATAAATAGCATGACTTTATTCACAAGTCACACGTGGCAATTGAAAAAAGTCATGTCCAGGTGTTTAAATAGAGTTCACGTCAGAAACCATATTTTCTCTCATAAAATGAAATGGTAAAGACAGTTTTGAGAACGTTTTGTTTATTTTGTGGTGGAGGGCACAGCAGTTGCTTTCCAGTTAATTGCTTTGAGGTGTTAAGAGGTGAAAGGAAACATAAGCACCCATTTTGTTCCTACCTCGCATTGAAACTGGTCTTTAATTATTTAGTGCTTGACAGTAACCCTTTTTTCCCCCACCTGTCTTACTTATTTGTTGAGTCATTCATCAGATACTTTCTTGAAGCTTGTTATTTGCTGGGTCCCGTGTTCTGTCCTGGTTCTGCACAGAAGCAGTGCAGGGTGTGTGCCGCGCAGCGCCCTCCTTCGTCTGCCCAGCCGTCACCATACACGTACTCATTCTTACTGACTTAACAGTCATCTTGGTGATTTTTCTCCTCTACCTTTATTCTTTCTTCAGTCTCTCTCTCTCTCTCTCTCTCTCACTCTCACTCTCACTCTCTCACTCTCTTACTCTCTCTCACTCCCTCCCTCTCCCTCTGATACACATACCAAACTTGATAGAGGATGATTCCCTTGTAGTAGGTCACCTGACTCCTTGTTTGGCTTTACGGTGTGAATGCTCTTCCTTTGTTTTGGGCATTTAGTTCTTCAATACTAAAGCATAATTTCCCTTGTTTAGCATTTAATTGGAAGCTTAGGAAATCCTCAATTGACATACTTTATTAAATCGATATATCTCAAAATAAATTGGATAAGATGAAGTGGAATTTTATTCTACACTGTTTTACTATGACTATGTATTTATATATATATATATATAAAGTACAGTCCTGGGAAAACATTTTGGATTTATCAGCTTTTTTCCTCTTGACACATCTGATTTTTTTTTAATGTGTTCACTGATTTTTAAAATTTTATAGAAATCCTTGATTGACATGTATTCTGAAGTTCTTGATGTCCTATCTGATTATGACGCCAGCTACAACACACAAGATCATCTGCCAAGGGTAAGTGGAAAGTTAATACATAGTGAACCTGCTCATTAGCAAAAGAAGACTTTACGTTTTAAAACAGTTGTGTGCATATATACCCAGACACACAATATAGACCTATACATATGCGCACACCACACACATAGAGAGACATATGTTTCTTACCGGTAGAATATCATTTATGTGTTCCACATGATATCTTAAGCATTGAATGTTGTTTGACTGTTTTGGTCTACTGGCCCATTTGGTCCATTGTATAAATATACACGTTGAATTTATGTGTAATGAAGGAAGGTTATCCGGTATCTTCCATTCTGTATTTGTAACATCCATGGTACTAAAATACCTGAATAGTGGATTAAATTAATGGGTGAAATTTAATTTCATAGAATTAAAAATGTCTCTGTAGAGAGTAAACTAGCTGTGGAAAACATTTGTAGGACAGGAGCGATATGGTTTTAAAAGTAGTGGTTTAATTAGCACATGTTTGGGGCACCTGGATGGTTCAGTAGGTTAAGCGTCCGACTTCGGCTCAGGTCATGATCTCACGGTTCGTGGGTTCGAGCCCTGTGTCAGACTCTGTGCTGACAGCTAGCTCAGAGCCTGGAGCCTGCTTCAGATTCTGTATCTCCCTCTCTCTCTGACCCTCCCCTGCTCACACTGCTTCTCTCTCTCTCTCTCAGAAATAAATAAAACATTAAAAAAAATTAGCACATGTTTGTGGGTTGTTTTGTTTTGTTTTGTTTCTATTCAAGTCACTTAACATGCAGTGTAGTCTCGACTTCAGGAGTAGAACCCAGTAATTCATCTCTTACATATCACACCCAGTGCTCATCCCAACAAGTGCCCTCCTTAACGCCTGTCAGCCGTTTAACTCACAGGCCTCCCACCCTTTCCCGGCAGCAACCCTCTGTTCGTTCTCTGTACTTTAAAAGTCTTTTACAGTCTACCTCCCTCTCTGTTTTTATCTTATTTTTCCTTCCCTTTCCCTGTGTTCATCTTCTGAGGTTCTTAAATTCTACATATGAGTGAAATCATGATATCTGACTTATTTTGCTGAGCACCAGTTTTTAATAAAAATTTAGTTATAAATAATGGATGCAATTAATATTCAGCTCTTTATATTTTCTACATGCATACATGTATTAACCCTCTTTGTTTTCTGGATGATATTTTCAAAATCTTTTGGCTGTAGCTATTTTAAAAGACTAAAAAAACCTCAGCAGTATTTCAAATCTATTAAATATAAGTTTGTATTAAGAAATCTGGGGGCGCTTGGGTGACTCGGTCAGTTAAGCGTCTGACCCTTGATTTTTGGCTCAGGTCATGATGTCATGGTTCGTGGGATCGAACCCCATGTTGAGCTCTCTGCTAACAATGCGGAGCCTGCTTGGGATTCTCTCTCTCCCTCTCTCTGCCCTTCTGCTCGTGCACGCTCTCTCATCCTGTCTCTCTCTGAAGATAAACATTTTTCAAGAATCTGAATAAACGTTCTTTGTTCTGTGATAAGGTTGTTGTGGTTGGAGATCAGAGTGCTGGAAAAACTAGTGTGCTGGAAATGATTGCTCAAGCGCGGATATTCCCTCGAGGATCCGGGGAGATGATGACACGTTCTCCTGTTAAGGTAGGACAGTAGGCCATCTGGACGAAGCTCCTCGGGAAAGCAGCTGCTTCCGTCAGGTTTGTCCATTGTGTGGACGTGAAGAATTGTGAATGACAAGACTAACCCCTAGCCCTGGGAAGTATTCCTGGGGTGGGAATCGGTGGAGGCACAGCCAGGCGGCCATTGTGCAGGAGCAGGGCGGGGGAGGGGAGAGAGACGGGAGCGGAGGGCAGAGGCCCAGTGGGGCCGCACTGCACTGAGCTGTTCATTGGCAGCACTCTAGATTTTATTGTGAGCGAGGTCAGGAAGAGGCTAAGTAAGAGAATGGGAGTATTGGCAGTGGAATTGGTATATATACATAATTTCCCAGTTTTACTGTAAGAAAGGTAGAGAAATGGGGTAGTAACAGGGAAATATATTGAATAAAGGGAAAGGTTTTTATATACTGATTGCAATGATCTAGTTTGAGAGGTAAAAATGATGTAAGAGAGAGGGAACAGTTGGAATAGCAAAGCCTTTGAGGGTAAAAGAGGCTGGGACTCAGCACAGCATGAAATATACAGAAGCTCTAACAGTTCAGAAACACCTATGCCTACAGTCTTTCACTCAGCAAATATTTATTGAGTGCTTAATACACTCCAGCACTGTTCTAGGCAGTATGTTGGCAAACAAAACAGAGATCTTTGCCATAATGGAGGATACGTTGTAGTAGAGGAAGCAGACAGTAAATAGTAAACAAAATAAGTGACCAGTGATGTAGTATGTTAGAAGATGGTAAGTGTTTTGCAAAAAAAAAAAAGCCAGACAAAGGGAGTGAGGGTGCCAGAGTGGCCAGGGTGTTGGTTGACTGCATTGAGAAGGTGACTTCGTTGAGAAGGTAAAGATTTGCACCGAGTGAGGGAAGAAGTTGGTGGGTAGCTAGTCTAAGAGTGTTCCCGGCAGAGAAAGTTAGTGGAAAGCCCCTGAGGTGGTTAGGTGGCTTTCGTGTTTGAGGCCAGTGTGTCTAGAGCAGGGCGAAGGTTAGCAGCAGATGAGGTCAGAGGATGGGTAATGGGAGGCCAGGGGAAGCAGGAAAGGGGAAGCAGGAAAGTAGGGCCTTATTGGTCACCATGCTTGCTTTGGTTTTTATTTTGAATAAAATAGCCAGTCTGGGGCTTTGAGCAGAGTAATACTGCTTTTGCAAAGGCTCACTCTGGCTACTGTGTTGAAAATAGACCTAAGCCAGATGGGTAGAACCACGGAGACCAGATGGGAAGCTATTGGAGTGGCTAGGTGATTCTTGGACCAGGGAAGTAGCAGTGAAGGTGGTAAGAGATGGTTGGGTTCTGCATCTATGCTGAAAGCAAGATCAGTAGGATATCCTGACATACTTGATATTTATATAAAGAGAGAGTGGCTCTCTGTATATAAACACAGGATGGCTCCAGTGTTTTTGGCCTGAATAGATTACAGCATGTAATTGACGTGGGGAAGTCTGGAGTAGAGTGAATTAGCTCTGGGGAGACGATCAGGAGTTAGTTTGGGACCTGCAAGGGATGTCAACAAATAAATAAGCAATTGTTTATACAAGTTTAGAGAGAGGTCTGGGCTAGTGACATAAATTTAGGAGTCATAATCAAATATCTAAAGGTGATATTTAAAGCCATGATCTTCCTTGGGTAAGATCACCAAGGAAGTGAAACGAGAAGACACAGGATGGATTGTGTCCTGGGCATACCCCAGATTAAAAGGTTGAGGAAGGAACCTCTGAAGGAGCTACCAGCACATTAGAGGGAATTAGAACAGTACGGTGTAATGGAAATCAGGTCAAGAACATACCCAGGAGGAGGCACTGATCAACGAGGCTGAATGCTGCTGACAGTTCAGGGAGGGTGAAGACTGAGAATTGGCCGCTGCATTAACCAGTGGAGGCAATGAAGTAGAATATGTGCAGCTTTCCTTCTGCTTGCTTCCTCTTGCTCAGTGCCTCTAGGAGGCTAGATTATCAGCTGCTACGTAAAGAGAGGGGAGAAGGTGTTAAAGGTTGAGCTAAGAAAGAAGTCTCTAGGCCAGCAGTAACTGCAGAAGTGAGTTGACCAGAGAGCTGAGAAATAGCAGGATTGATGAGCCGTACTGAGGTCCCCATTCAGATCCGTGGACATCAATTTAAAGGGAAGTTCTGTGGTTGTGCATTTTTTTTCTTTTACTTCAGGTAATAGGTACAGAGTAATTGGAGAATTAGGAAATTGACACCACCAAGAAGGAAGGCTCATAGACAATGAGGCTGATGCTAGAATCTTCCAAAAATGAAGTGGTCTCAGTGTGATCCATACAGAATGCACGGTTTTGGGTCTGGGTGTGGACTCAGCTACGTTATGTAAAACTAGTCTCTTTTCCATCGCTCTATGGTTTTGTGCGAATGTACCCAACACTGTGGATCCATTTTACTGTTGATGGGCACTTAGAATACTTCCATTGTGGGGGGAAATTGACTGCACCTCGTGTCTTGCTCTGTAATCATCTCTAAAAACATTGTAAACCTACCTTCTACATTGCAACCAACACTCTAATTGTAGCGGCTGTAGATGATGTTATATTTTAGGAAGGGGCTAATTTTCTTCTGGCAGCAAGTAAATAAATCATGGACAGATTTCCTTAAAAGATCAAAGGCTGGGGTTTTTTCTAGTTCACCGTTACTCCTCTAGAATTTACCAGCACTTCTGCTTGGTGGACTCTTAACTCAATTTTTGTCTCTTCTAAACAAATTGCCAAAATCTTGACTTAGCCTTTTAGCTTTTTTAGCAGCTTCTTTCTGGTTTGTTTCCACACAAAGCAGATGCCTTATGGGGGGAAATTGTGCCCAAAAAGTAGGGCTTGGTTTTTGGAGATTGATTTCTGCTGTCCATTTTTTTTCTGGGGGCTTTAGCAACTTAAATTCAGGGCTGCTTGATACCCAGATCTCTGATTTTGTCTCCTCAACTCAGGAAGCTGCTAACCTTTTCTCCAGCGCTACCCTGTGCCACAAATCTGCAAGCACCCTGAGGGAAAACAGACGTCAGAATGTGCCTCTAACATTCTCGGGGGTCTTCGACTGAGTTCAGGCTGCCATGGTTGCTCTCTGATGCTTTCAACCAGCTGGATTTTATTGGTTATCTAGCCCACCTCACTAGTCTCGGTAGAAGGAATTGTATTTTGAAATGAAACTGGATCGTTACTGAGAAGCTTGAAAAGTTACAATTGAAAAGTAACAAAAGGGGGGGGGGGTTAATGAGAAGCTTAGATGTTCTCAGGAAGGCCCTGTTAACATATGCGTCGCATCGTTAGAGAATCCCTTGTACAAATATCACTTGCTCCTTGGACAAAAGCTGCCTTAGCTCCCCTGTGCTCAGTACCCCTGTCCCTGTGTACACATAGGTTTTACTGCCCTGTCGTGTCAGCTCTGTGTATACTTCTCCCAGATGCAGTGAGGTCTAAGCCCGGGATGGTCACTTCTTCGTTTCCCTCCTGTAACACTTGCACAGCTAGCCCTCAATAAATAGAAGTTGAATAAATGAATTGTCCTTTACCTAAATTCACCTTTGAAGTGAAATGCAAGATGTTCTTTTTGTTTTTCAAGTTTTAGATCGATGGCTTTTTGCTCATTACCTGTGTAGCATGAACTGGGAAAGGAGAGGGGCAGCAGCCGCAGGCTGGTCGGGGAATTACCACACACGTGACAGGTATATGGACAGCACAGATAAACAGTTCTGTGATCTCTGTGCTGCCATGGTGACAGTCCCCAGGGATGCTCCTGAGGTGTCCTGCGAAGGGACCGGGATGCGCGCGGCGCAGCGGTCTTGTCGAGGCTGTGTTCAGGCCGTGGTTGTGAGCGTGAATCGTAGACACACTGTTGCATGTCCATTTTCTGTTAATTTCAGGTCACTCTGAGTGAAGGTCCTCACCACGTGGCTTTGTTTAAAGATAGTTCCCGGGAGTTCGATCTTACCAAAGAAGAGGATGTAAGTAGGATTTATGTGAGGTCCATGTGTATAACTTGATAACTCGTATAAGCTTATGAAGGACGACTAAGGGGAATATTTGTTAAATGAGGATTATCAGAGGATTTTGTTGTTTTCCATTAATAGCTTGCAGCATTACGACATGAAATAGAACTCCGAATGAGGAAGAATGTGAAAGAAGGCTGTACTGTTAGCCCTGAGGTGAGTGTTGTACTTTTTTTTTAACAGTTTTACGGAAACAGTGTTTTATGGAAATCCAAATGATTGGAAATAAATCATGATACTGGCACTCATGTTTTGATTGCAGCTGTTTCAAGATACATAAGATTTTTTTTTGTAATGTCCCAAATAATGTATCATTTTGGGAGTAGCTTTCTAGAATAATTAACTTTTAGGATCAGATAAAGGGTGACTTGACTTTTTTGTGAATTGGTGACATACAGAATTTTTAGATATGTATCACCAATAAATTCCTAACAGACTGCCCCCCCCACAGTTAATTTTCTTCTGTTTTGTGTCTCTGAGTAGACCATATCCTTAAACGTGAAAGGCCCTGGGCTGCAGAGGATGGTGCTTGTTGACTTACCAGGTGTGATTAATGTAAGTACATACACAACTTGTATTTTACCTCGTTCCTGTTGTGGAAAACATGCCTAATGACATTTAAAACCTTTTTCTTCAAGACTGTGACATCAGGCATGGCTCCTGACACAAAGGAAACTATTTTCAGTATCAGCAAAGCTTATATGCAGAATCCTAATGCCATCATACTATGTATTCAAGGTAAATCTTATCAAAAGGTTTTAATTGCACCGATATGCTTCCTTCCTTAGCCGGCTAAGCTTTGCATGTGACAGAAACATACAACATAAATATGTCTTGCCCTCCCTTAAGCCATTCGCTTTATTAGTAAATAGAAATGAAATTAGGAATATTTTGATAAAACATCACAAATTTTTATTAGCTAGAATTTCTTTTCATAACTAATTTCAATGTAGTAAGAAAAATGTTTCTTTTTTAATGTTTATTTTTGAGACAGAGAGAGACAGAGCATGAGGGTCAGAGAGAGGGGGAGACACAGAATCGGAAGCAGGTTCCAGGCTCTGATCTGTCAGCACAGATTCTGTTGCAGGGCTGGAACCCATGAACCGTGAGATCCTGACCTGAGCTGAAGTCGGACGCTTAACCGACTGAGCCACCAGGCGCCCCAGAAAAATATTCTTAGTATAATGTAGATACAAGGGTGTAGGTTAAAGTCTTAAGACCTACTTGGCAATTATTACAGTGTTGTGTTTCAATTTTTTTTCCAGATGGTTCTGTGGATGCTGAACGCAGCATCGTTACAGACTTGGTCAGCCAAATGGACCCTCATGGAAGGAGGACGATATTTGTTTTGACCAAAGTGGACCTGGCGGAAAGAAACGTGGCTAGCCCAAGCAGGGTGAGGGCAAGCCCTTTATTATGAGAGAACAGATTCTTTGCATAAGCTTCAGCCGTGGCAGGGACTGGCTCTAAAAACAAAACAAACACGCCATCAGAAACTCCTTGTGGAATACTTTGGTGGGATTCTTCTTCTCAACAAAAACAAAGTATTAGAAAGTTATAGTAAAGTACTTAAGTGCCATTTTGAAGTATAAATCAGATTCCACAGTTTCAGTTAGTTTGCTTGAGAAATTCTTAAATTTCTAATGTTGCATACTCTAATATAATCTTGTATGCTGGCACACAATCAGTAACTACTTTTAATTAACCACAAAATGATGATTGTGGTGTTTCTTTTCTAAATTTTTTTTTTTTCGTTTATCTTCATAAGTTAGTGGGAAACCAGTAACACTATAATCCCTTCTGGACATTGTGTATACTTTTTTTTTTTTTTTTGGCAAATAAACATTGTATTTCCTAACTGCGCAAAGACTATGAAGCAGATTTTTATAATAGAGAAGGCACTGGATTGATGTCAGTCCTCAGCATTCTTATCTGTGCTCCACCACAAACTGGCTGCGTGTCCTTGGGCAAATCTTATTACTTCTCCACATCGAGTTAGTGCCTAATCCATCCTATTAATCTAGTTGATCTCTAGGGTCATTTTCATTTCTGAAATTCTGTGACTTCTATTCGTGGGGTTCAGTGTCCCTCCTGTCCTTCTGTAACAACAAAAGAATTTTATTTCAAGATGACATTGTAAGTCTTATTAGGGTGCCAGTCTTGACGTAGGGCATGGCCTTTACTTAAGGTAAAGGCAGAAGGTAGTGGTTGTGAGTATAGACTCTATAGCCAGATTGCTTGGTTCCAAATGCTGGCTCTCCTCGTTGCTAGCTGTGTAATGTTGGGTAAATTGCTTTAGGCTTCCCCATCTTTTGGAAATGAGGATATTAATGGTACTGTCTCAGAGGCTGTGAAGGTTTAATGAGTTAAGTATTTGTTGTCAAGTGGTTGAAATAGTGCTGTATCATCACAAAGTCTTGTACACATGGTGGCTGTCATCTGTTATTGGTGTATCTCTATTCCCCATAGAACATCTTCAGTTAGAAGTACTCATCCCTCGTACTACTGCAGAGAATTTCTCTCCTTCCCACCTGAAGCTTCCTGGGACTGTGCCTCTTGTGCTGGTTCCTGGGACAGACCACCACTAGGCCTCACCGGTTCTGTAGAAGGACTCACAGGACTCAGCGCACAGTCATCCTTACAGCTAAAATCTATTAACAGTATTGGATACAAAGCAAAATCACAAAAGGCTAAAGCACAAGGGATGCATGGCATCTGGAGGAAACCCAGCTCAGTTTTCCAAGAGAAAACTTCTACCCTCCGGTAGAATCATGTGGGAAGTGCTTAATCCCTTAGGCAACCAGTTTCTCATGAGAGACTCGGCACCTAAGGTTCTTACTGGGGGCTGGTCACGTAGGCAGCCTCAAGTACGAAAATTCCAGACGCCCAAAGGAAAGCGAATGTTCAGCAGAAACCACAGTGCTTGCACAATGAGTGACTGTTATGTGGAGAAAGTTTTATGTCAATGTGGGAATTGTTTACCAGTGAGGGCCTCAAATGCCAGCCAAGGGTGAGCAGACCTTTCTAAGGACAGCGGTCTCAGGCCTGCTCTGTTAGCTCTTCTCTGCACAACTCTGTGACCTTTGCTTTGCCTTATTTTGAGGGGCAGGCCCTCTGTGGCGGTTTTGATCCTGGTATGGAGGAGGGCAGAAGCGAGTTCAGTGCCTCCTTCCCAACTCCACTTCTTTCCCCTCTTCTCATAGATAGTTTATATTTATTTTGAAATGCAACTGAAGTTTCTATCAGTCGTTTTTCATACCAAAGCTCCAGCCTTAGCTTAGGGGTGTGACCTGTCTTAGACGAGAGATTCTTAACCACAGGATTAATGTGAACGGGCACAAGGAGCAGAAGCTCTTACGCTGTATGCCTGAGGCTCTCGGTGCAAATGTGCGTTTTCCTGGCGACAGGGCCTCTAGCTTTTGTTACATCTAGAAAAGGGTTGTGACCCGACAAGAGCCAGTGGACCCCAGCATTTGTAAAAAGAGAGTAAAAAAGGTCCAACTTGGTTAGAATTTATATACATTTAAGAAAAGGATAGGAAAATAAAAGTAGCAGCCACTGTTAATTGAGTGACTCTGCGTACCTGGCACTGTGGTACATACGTATCATATTGCCTCCTACCATCTTTTCAGTGATCACCTTGAGAAATTGAGGCAGCTTACTTAAAGGGGCACAGCTAGTAAGTGACGGAGGTGAAATTAAACTAAGGCCCAAAGCACGACACAGCATTCCAAGTTTTCATAACACATCTTTTAGTGTAGGGAAATTAAATGTATTTGTTTTTTTCCCCCTCAAGTAGCAATTGAAAAACATTTTAATACTTTTGTGTAAATTTATATATTTGATGGAAGATGTATATACAGCATTATTAAGTTTGCTTTCTGAATAGTATATTATGCTTTAAAAAATTATATAAACCTACATCTAACATTTATTTCCCACTCTTAAAAATAGATTCAGCAGATAATTGAAGGAAAACTCTTCCCAATGAAAGCTCTAGGTTATTTTGCTGTTGTAACAGGAAAAGGTAGGCAAAGATGAATTTTTACATTTTCAGTTTTGGTTGTTTTCAAATAATAAAGATTAATTTTCTTAGTGAGAATATCATTGTCTTTTCCTAGGAAACAGCTCTGAAAGCATTGAGGCTATAAGAGAATATGAAGAAGAATTTTTTCAGAATTCAAAACTCCTAAAGTAGGTATATGGTTTAAACACTTGGAGGGAGTAGCTTAAACTGTTCTCACTTAAAAGTTTGATATGTAGCATTAGTTTAACAGTGAATTTCCAGAATTTTTCTGAACTAGTGATCTGGACCCAATAGAGAAGCCCATAGGCTACTAAGAATTAGTAGGCGCCTGGGTGGCTCAGTTGGTCAAGTGCCAACCTGAGCTCGCGGTTCGTGGGTTTGGGCCCCGTGTGGGGCTCTGTGCTGACAGCTCAGAGCCTGGAGCCTGCTTCTGATTCTGTGTCTCCCTCTCTCCCTACCTCCACTCACGCTTTGTCTCTCTGTCTCTCAAAAATGAATACATGTTAAAAATTTTTTTAAAAAACAAACAAAAAAGAATTAGGAGCAGCGTATCACACAGTACAATACGTGCTGGTGTGAAAAACTGCCCCTGGGGATCTGGGTACAGAAAGACAACACGAACACGTCTTTAGTTGTTTTACTGGTGAAGTGATTTTTTAAGAGCAACACTTAACATTTTTATTTATTTATTTTTCTGAAGAAACCTATCCTGGTCTTTTGTTTATTTTTTTAAGTAAACTTTACCCCCAACGGGGGCTAGATCTCAAAACCCCGAGATCAAGAGTTGCATGCTCTACTGACTGAGCCATCCAGGTGCCCCCAACACTTACATTTTTAAATACACATGTTCATTTCTCTTTCACTATTGGGGAAAGTCAGAGTGGGGGGTGGGAATGTCAAAGGGGTATCCCCAAATAGGTATTGACAGAAAGTAAGATCCTGAATAAAAGCAAAAGGGAAGAGTTAAATGACAGCTGAATTACATTAAAACCTTGTATATAGAGAGTCCCTTAAAATGGCAAGGTATGTTTGCCTCTGTATTAGTATAGTAAATCAAGATAGATCTTGCAGACATAGTCTTGAGTATTATCTATGGGGACGGGAACTGACAGGTGTATAGAACTGAGCTGTCCAGCTTGGCAGGCACTGGCCTCGGGTAATTATTTAAGTTTGAGTTGGTTAACGTTAAAGAAATTAAAACTTCATTTCCTCAGTCACACTAGCTGTACATTCCAAGGGCTCAGTAATCCCAAGCGGCTAGTAGCTACCACATTGGATAGCTCAGATCCAGGACATCGTCTGCATCACAGAACATTTTATTGAATAATGCTGGTATAAAATGTGAGCGTGGCCGTTCTCGTTACCTTATCAAAACAAACACGTTTTCAAATTTGATGATAGTATTTTCCTTTTTGCCATTTTAATGTACGTTAGGTTTTATTATTTTTTAATAGGACGAGCATGCTAAAGGCACATCAAGTGACGACAAGAAATTTAAGCCTGGCTGTATCGGACTGCTTTTGGAAAATGGTACGGGAGTCCGTTGAGCAACAGGCTGATAGTTTCAAAGGTGAGTTGGCCTTTTAAAATAAGCTAAAAATTTTAGACATTTTATTAGGTGGCAGGCTTAGGTGTCCATCAGATTGTTTTTCTTAAATGTTTTATTTATTACTGAGAGAGAGGAACAGCACGAGCAGGAGGCAGTCAGAGAGAGAGGGAGACACAGAATCTGAAACAGGCTCCAGGCTCTGAGCTAACTGTCAGCACAGAGCCCGACATGGGGCTCAAACCCAAAAACCGTGAGATCATGACATGAGCCAAAGTCGGACGCTCAACCGACTGAGCCACCCAGGCACCCATCCATCAGATTTTTTATTCCTTTAACAGTGGCTTTTTACTTCATTTTCTATTAGATAAATGTGTGGAAAATGGAAAAAATACAAATTTTTAGTTGTTGTACGAGAACATTTTCACCTTCAAAGGAAACATCACAAGGAGTATTTTGCAGATTTTCAGCAGAGTGGAAAGTTTGCAGTAGTGTTTGAGAGCAAGAGCTTAGTAAACCACACTAGACTCAGATGCCCCTGTTTTAGGGGGAAGAGGGGAACGGTGTTAGGGGCCAGAGCAGCCTGTGCTTTCACTGCATTGTACTAGTTCCTGAAGGCCACGCTTTCTTGCTCTGTGACTTTGATTCCATAGTTCATTTGATGAGAGTAGGCTTTCCTTCCCTTCTCCCATTTGGAAATTCCACCGCCTTAGTCCCTCAGCAACCTTATGAGTCTTATTGTTATTCTCATTTTACAGAAGAGGAAACTGGGGCACAGAGTAACTTAGCTAAGTGAAGCACCCAGCATCATACACAATCGATAATAGACCAGGATTTGAATCTTAGTTGTGTGATTCCAGAGTCCATGCCTTTCGCAGATATACTAAGTTGTTCCCACCGTGTGTTTTGTGGATTGAAAATGCAGAAACTAACGTCAAGGAGATTAGTTTGGAGAATTTGCAGTAGTGAGATTCTGAGAATGTTGAGAGCACAGAGTACTGAGGAGCCATGGGTGCGCACTCAGAAGTTCCATTAGGACAGAGATGCGCGAGATGTGTTAGCACAGAGATACAGATTCCTTTAACCACTGCAGCAGGAAAGAGAGAGCGTCCTTAAACTGGAACACCTTTTCTTCTTCCTCAGCAACACGTTTTAACCTTGAAACCGAATGGAAGAATAACTATCCTCGCCTACGAGAACTTGATCGGGTAATGTTTGCGTACCTCATGTATTTTGTATGTGTCTTGTTTAATACTGTGCTCTAACAAAATTTATGTTGATGAGCAGACTCTGGTAAGCCAGACTGCTTTGATTTTCACCATACAATTACTAATTTAGAGCTGCAAGAATAGATTCTCGGGAGCTGTTACAGTAATTTAAATCATCTATTACATAATATGAAGAAATAATTACACATTATAAGGTCCTAAAGCAAGTATTTAAAAATGTTTTCTGATAAAACAAAGAACATTCTTTAAAGGTCTTCTCGAATTAACATATTTATGTAATGTAAACTTTTAAAATTCGTACTTCAGCTTTTTTACCTTTTGAGCATGTATTGTGGAGACATATACTCTGATTTAGTGAGACTTAAATATTGGTTTTCCTTAATCTTAAAATGCCATCTTTCGTAAAACAGCATCAGTTTACTAATACTAATAGACTGAATTAGTATATACTGATAGTTTGACGTAACATTGGTTATGTGGAAAACTTACCTGACTGAATAAACATTACCTGAAAAACTGCACTGAGCATTGAGTGATTAAGGTGGACATTTGTGTTAATGTCTTTGTCCTTATCTGGCTATTGGCATTCCTAAACCTGAGACTAGAAGAGCAGTATTTACTGGTCATGCCTGCTTCACACCTAGGCTCCGCCTACTCACCTGTAGGGGAAGGCCTTCCTCGTAGAGATCTCTGAAGCTCACAGCAGGGCAGATCGACTCTCTTATGAAAATCTTACTTACTTGTATCTGTATTATCTAGAATGAACTATTTGAAAAAGCTAAAAATGAAATCCTCGATGAAGTCATCAGTCTGAGCCAGGTTACACCAAAGCACTGGTGAGTATTCAACCTTTTCTCAACAATTTTGCTCTATAGATTATCATGAAATAACTAAAATTCAGATTGATAAAGCAGTGATTTATTAAATAGCCTTGGCTTATCCCCAAAACACTTAGTAAATAAGTAATAGTATAAAAGTATGTCTTTTTGCAGAATCTAACCACTTTCATTGTCTAACCAGTTAAGTGTTTATTAAGTATCTTTCAGAAGAGATATTTTGGAAAAAATTGCTTTCTCCATGGTCTTTTTAAGTCTGGAGTCATCTTGGGTTTTTCTATACCTTATACTTAATAAACACATAATTTTGATTTCTTTCGAGTCATTTAGGCAAAAGTTTCATCAAATTGTGCTTAAAGATAAGCCTATCAAAATTGGTTACTCTTGTTAGATTAATCACGGAAAACAGAACTAACGAGAAAATTGGCTTGTAAAAGGAAAAGAGTATGTATTTTTAAGTTCTCATTTCTGAACAAGAACAGTCAGTGCTTTTTGTAACAGGTGCCTCATATGTTTCGTACAAATCGTTATTTCAAATTGAATTCTATTTGAGATTTTTAAAAAATAGCAGGTAAATCCATCCTTTTGAAAAGTACGCCTGCACGTCTCTCTCAGGGCAAACTGTCTATTACCTTCCACTTAGGAGTGTCTGAATTTGGGCACTCATAGGTTTGCTGGGGTGGGACACTACTACCAAACTAGGTTCTGTGTGCCTCTAGCAGGCTGTGTATAAATGGCCTGGATTTGTTTGCAGTCATCTTTTAATGAAAAAATTCCTTGTGCATAAATTATCTTTCTAATTGAAATCTATAGTGTTTCTAAGAATTTATCATTCTTGGAGGAGAACTCTCCTTATTGCCATTCATTAGAAATATTTTCTGTACCTCTTCTGTTTGCTCAGTTGAAGATTATCAAACTTGGGCCTAGACAGTTAGTGTCCAGTCCTGAAGTCTGAATTCAGTATTGCTAGTTTTTCCATCTCGGTGCCCTTCCTCAGTTGTGAACCCTTTTCTCTCTTCAAGGAGTCAAAGTTTGCCTATTTTTAATCTCCTCTCCTTATCCCAAAAAGGAATCTGATCTTATCTACACTTGTTGATTGATTAACCAGGTGTGTGTATATATGTGTATATGTATATATTTATATCTAGCTTATCTTTGTTATTATTTGTATTTTAAACCAGTTCTCTGGCTTTCTGTAAACCAAATGGCTTTTGAAATTGCAAGAGGTAGATATGTATACACACACACACACTCATGCACACAAATACGCACAAAGAATGAATACTACTTCCCATTCTAGGTTATATGGGGACAATGTACATGAAAAGTGATTTGTAAATTTTAATAGCTGCTAATACTGTGTATGGGAGAAAAATAGGGTGCCTCTGTAAATTCCTGGCATCATCAGGTGAAATGGTTAGTGTCATTTGGGCAGAGCAATCTGAAATCAAAATATCCTTGCACTAAAGTGAGCCATGAGTGTAAATGCCATTTATTTAGTATGCAGGTGGCTGAAGGGAATTGTGAAGGGCCGCGAAGCCTGTATTTCCCGGAAGGCAAGGGGGAGAAAGCAGGACATCTGGCTGCTAGCGATGTATTCCGTGAGCCAGTGGAGCAGATGATTCTGTATCTTATCAGATCAACATTTTTCCCCCCCCTGGCTCTACAGCTTAACACAAACATAGATCAAATGGCAGATCCTAATTGTAGCTATTCATGTCACACTGAATTCATCCGCATTGTACCCAAAATATTTTATTTTGGGGACATAGTTGATGTTGCCTTAAGCAGTATTTTGTCACTGTTGTTGCATATGGCTTACATGATATTTTAAGGTGCAAGCCTAAGATGTTAATTATTTCATTGCCAAGACTATTTGATCTATATTCAGTGATCTGGAAGCAGTGTTACAAGCATTCTATGTTCTAAACATGATAGTTTGTTATTAAAGGCATTCTAGTCCACTGTAACTACATTTTAAGGAAGTTATTGGGGTGTTATATTTGACATAAGATGCACTGTAGGGAGAAATAGGCTCTCAGCATTTTCAGACTATATACCTGATCATCTGGGATTGATTACTGACGTTAAGCAGGAGATACTGATACATCGTTAACATTATGTGACTGTTACTATAGCTATATCTTTTTTCATATGTCATTTAGAAGGATAGCTGGCTGTATTTATAGAAATACACTTTAAAAAATGGCAGAGTGGTATGCATACAGCTGTTGGTTAAAAGTATTGAGTTGTTTTGTTGAAATTTGAGAAAATGAAAGGAAAATGGGAACATGCAGTTGAGTCCCCTGACTCAGATTTGAGGAATCAAAAAAGATCTCTGATTTGTAATCCTAAATTTAAAGAGTAAGTGGTATTTAGGTAAAGGCAGTGACAGGAGAATTGCAGAGGCTAGGAGGTGAGAGCAAGCAAGGTGACACAGGGGGCCAAGGGCTGTTACCTCCAGCTTTAGCATGTAGGAGGCAAGAGCCAGGAGAGAAAGCAGTAGATAGAAACAAGATACAGATTATTAAGGGCCATGCAGGCCACGTTCAGAAGCTTGGAATTTATCCCATGAGCACCAAGGGCCACTGAATAGCTTTAGGGCAGATTTGCAGCTTCGAGAGATCTTTCTAGTAGGGCAAGTGGACTGCTGTGAAGAAGGAGGCTTAGGCGGCTGGCTGCTGAAATTACTAGATGAGAGATCATGGCAGCGTGAACCATCTTGAGTAGTGACTCAAGAGCACATGAAGAAGAGGAGACAGTTTTGAAATATTTGAGGAGTTACCTAGAAGATAACATTGACAGGATTTAGTGACTTTGGACATGTAGGTAATGGAGAAGCTCGTGAAACAGTGAGTACATTTCTACCCAGTAATTACATCGCTGCGTATTTATAAGAACGAAGATATATTTGACAAAGATGAACGCATAAGAATCATCACCATTGTTTTGTGTAAGTGTAAAAACATTGAAAACTTCTGTTTTCTGGTTTTTCACTATATTTGATTTATTCAGAGTGGATTATTGTGATGACACCATTGAAAAATGTAGGAAATTGACATCAAAACTGTTCAACATGCATTTAACTAAAGTAGCATAAATGCACAAATATTTATGCAGGCATCAGGTGTTTTTATTTTATTTTTATTTTATTTATTTTTTTTTAAAGACTGCTTTTTTTTTTAATTTTTTTATAGTTTATTTATTTTGAGACAGATAGAGATAGAGCATGAGTGGGGGAGGGGCAGAGAGAAAGGGAGACACAGAATCTGAAACAGGCTCCAGGCTCTGAGCTGTCAGCATAGAGCCTGATGCGGGGCTCGAACCCACGATCTGTGAGATCTGACCTGAGCTGAAGTCGGACGCTTAACCGACTGAGCCACCCAGGCACCCCGCATCAGGTGTTTTTATTGATAAATAAAGCTGTGAATAGTGGTTATACCCCTGAAAGGAATTATGGAGGACTTACTACTTTTTCTATATTGGTTGAAAATTACTATATAGAGTCAGTCCTTTGCTTTAAAAGAAGATATTTTCATTTGAAAGTGTTTTGATTAACACGGAGTGTAGGCAGCGTTCCTGGAGATACAGAGGGGAATGAGCAGAACTATCATGTTGACTGAATTTTGTGTATTTGTGGACTTTTCCCTAGATGATGGCAAAATTTAGAATAGAGAAGTGTACCGTCACCTAAGACACGCTAGGAAATGTAAGTAAGGGCACAAGTCGGGGTAGCAGACAGCGTAGGCAGGTGCGCTGGCCTCGTGGCACGGGGGTTCCTACATGAGAGTTGAGGACCGTGGCCCGGAGAGAGACTGTGCAGTGAGAACATGGCTTCCGCTCCCTAACCCAGCAGCTTCCAGTCAGCAGGATGTGAGGACACTCACTGTCAGGCAGGGAGAGCCGGGAACGGGGAAAGAGTGGGAATGTAAAGCGGTCTGTTTGTTACGGAACAGAGTATTGGGGGCACAATAAGCATGACTGCGATGGAGGGGAGCCGGAAGAGTGTGGACAGAGGACAGCAGCTTGGTGACGAAAAGGTGGGTGAGGATGGGTGACAGCAGCTCCCTATGGTGGACTGGAAAACAGCCTCCTTTGAGAAAGTTACCTAAGCTTGTCAGGATTTGCTGGTCTGGGATTTTGTTACTACTTCCTCGAAAAGGTGTCTGGAATGTCAGTTCCTCCCCCACAGACCCCTTGGAGGAGACAACAGACCAAGTCTGTCCTGAAACAGGAGTGGCAAAAAGCCCTGGTGGCCAGAGGCTGGATCCTGGCTTTTTTGTTCATCTTTCAAAAATCTTGAGTTTGTGTTTAAAATGTCATCTGAATAGGAGACCCTGACAAGCTTTTTTTCTTCCAGCCTGCTCCTAAAATTCTCCACCTGTCATTGTCTGTCATTAACACCATGACTAAATTGATTTTGTTCTTCTGGTCCTCCGTGGTGTGTCCTCTCCTCATGCTTTTTCTTTCGTTTTCTGCTTGTAACTGAAAAAAAGACCCGAAGGTTAGCAAGGGGAAACCAGCAGCTAAGCTGATTGACTCCGTGCACTTGGCTTTACACAGAACGTTGAGGGAGTATAAGCAGTCTCAGATAAGAGGGAGTGTTGACGCTCGTCAGCTGAGAACGTTGCATCTTGGCTTTTGGACAGCAGGGATGTTTCTGCTACCCTGAGCTTTTGCGGCTGTGTCCTAGACGGTTAAGGGCACTGACCACGTTTGGTGAGCAGAATGTTTGTTGTATGTCGTCGAAATACCTCACAGTAGAAATTAGTATGGGAGAAGCCAAATACATATTCTCTTAAGAGTTCAGTTTTTCTCTTCATTGAAATAGTTGTGTTTTTGTTCTTGCTTAGAGATCTGTGGTCTCGTAAGCTGCCTTTTAAGGCAGGATTCTCAACCTGCTTATGCATCCTTTATAGCGTTATCGTTACCACGGCATGTTGAACAGTTTTACCTGGCAGTAGCCCGTAGCATCTCTGTTCTCTGTGTTGTGGTCTGGTAAATGGTTAAAATTATACCAAGAAGTTCTCACCCTTGGACTGCCCTTTTCAGTCAATGCGTAAAAAGTATGTGTAGGCAAATGAGCACAGGAAAAGATGCTTAAGAGTATTAGCATTTCATTTGCATCAGGGAAATACAAATGAAAACCAAACCGCAATGAGATACCACCATAAACCTGTCAGAATGACTAATCATCAAATGTTGGCCAGAAGCAGAGCATCTAGAACTCTCATACTGTGCTGGTAGAAATGTAAAATAGCTCACCCATTTGGACAAACAGTTTGGCAGTATCATAAAAAGTTAAGTATATAGCTGCCAAATGACCCTGCTATTCCACTCCGAGATATTTTGCCCAAGAGACTCAAAAGGATATGCACAAAACAGCTTGCATGGGAAGCTCATTACAGCTTCATTTGGGAGAACTAATAACAGGAAACCATGCAGATGTCCGTTAGCAGCTAAATATATAAATAGACCCGTGCAGTGGAATACTATGCGGCCATAAAAAGGAGCGGAGCAGGACACCTGGGTGGCTCATCAGTTAAGCAGCAGGCTCTTCATTTTATCTCAGGTCATGATCTCATTGTTCATGAGATCGAGCCCCACATTGGGCTCTGCACTCATAGTGCACGGAACCTGCTTCCCCCCCCCCGCCTTCTCCTCCCCCACTTGCACTCACTCTCAAATAAATAAAAAATTTTTTAAAAAAGGAGTGAAATATTGATACACACAACAATGTGGGTAAATCTGAAAAAAATTTCCTGAGTAAAAGAGGAAGACAGACAAAAATAAGAGTATATACTGTATGGTTGCATTTATATTCAATTCTAGAAGACATAAGCTAACCTCTAGTAACGGAAAGCAGACCCAGTGGCTAGAACTTTGGAGTTGAGGGAAAAGTTGATTAGCTTGCTTGTGGTGATGCGCAGGCATGTTCATACGTCCGTGCTTTAAGTAAGTGAATGATATGTCAGTGCGACTGTGTTTAAAAACAATATCATGTTTAAATTTGATGTTCTTGAAACTCTTTTGTCTAATTTCAGGGAAGAGATCCTTCAGCAGTCTTTGTGGGAAAGAGTATCAACTCATGTGATTGAAAACATCTATCTTCCAGCTGCACAGACCATGAATTCAGGGACTTTTAATACGACAGTGGATATCAAGCTTAAACAGTGGACTGATAAACAGCTTCCTAATAAAGCAGTAGAGGTTAGGATATAATTTAATTAAATGGGTAAGAAGCATTATGTGAAGGGAGTAGGAGCCATGAATTTTAGGTTTTATTCCCATCACAGCCCTTTCTCTCCTTTCAGTCGTTATGCTCCATTTATTTTCTATTCCTCATCTCTGTGTTGGGATTAACCTTAATGCTGCTCCCAGTTACTACCACTATGGACATGTGCTAATTGGTATAGTGTTGGCCCAAGACTATCGTTCTGTTCCAAAGGTAGCACTTAACAAAACCAGCAAAATTTGCTTAAATGTGAAACGTTTTTAACTTTTTCTGCGGATCAGGATCCCATACGGAAAATGTTCAGTGGACGAACTGTTTCATTTATTGCTTTTTCTGCAGGGCTCCGTTTTACTTAAATCATCATTTCCCTAGTTAGGATCCTGCCAGAACGTTAGGCTAGGGATCATAAGCAAGTCCCTTAAAGAATGCTTGTCTGCTACACATCGGCTCTACCCCTTCGTAGCTGTGTGACCCTTGGACTAGGCGCTTCACCTTTCTGTGTATCTGTACAGTGGGCAAGATAAGGTTGCCCACCTCACAGATTATTGTAAGGAATAAGCGAACATAGTGTAGAAAATACTTAGACGTACCTGGCCCTCGGGAACTGCGCAGTAAATGCCAGCTGCTGTTACCGTGATGGTGGGCGTCACCGAGTTGAGCTGCCGTGCGGATTAGCCTGAAGAATGATAGCTCTGGCTCAGTAAGACTCAGTGTGTCCTCGGCCTCTCTGTGAGGTTGCTCACAAAATTAGAATGACTGTTACAGATAATTTCATTTTTCATAGTCACCTTGTCACCTTCTAATTATTTGGGTGTCATTCCCCCCTTTCCTGTCCAGTTCCACTCCTGACCTCTTCACCGCTGTTCTCGGTTTCTTCAAGCCTCTCTTTCTAAGAACTGACAGCTGTCCTCTCGAAGTTACATATTGTTGGCCCCTGTCAGTTCTCCACGCATTTACCCCTAAATTGACTAGAGAGCTGCTGCCGCCCCTCACCAGCTCTCCTCACAGCTGGCCCTCACATCTGTCTGGCCCCGGTCCCAGGCGAGGACGTGTTCACGTCCTGAGGCTCAGCAGTGGAAGCGGTCACTGTCTCCCGCCACCTTCTCCCTCCATACCTGGGTGTGGTGGAAAGATGAGGATCTGCCGAAGGTCAGGAAGCATAGATTCTGATACCTCGCTGCGTATTCTCGGACAGCCATCGTTTTTTACGCTACGATTTCTTCATGTTCAAAAGGATCAGGGCTAAACAAAAAATTCAGCATTAACTAGCCCGCTGAATCATCAGTAGATTTAGTGCTTAATTACTTTGACACTGTGCTCTTCCTTCCCAGTAATTAGGAGTTAGCCATAATAGAGCCCGGACACTGCTGGGCTCTGTTTGAAGGTATTGATGCTTTGCTTCATATCTTTGCTTAAAGGCAAATCATTATGAAATTCTAACCTTTGCAGAATGGAAGAAGCAGGCCAACTTCCCTGTTGTACAGAATGAAATAAATTAGTGACCGAAGTCTGGGGGCTGGTTGGAGAACAGACCTTATCTCAAGGGGGCAGCTCCTTTACAGCCCCAGCTCGTGCTGTACAGTGCTTGCTGCCGGATAGTTCAAGAGGGGCTGGAAACACACATTTTTTTTAATATGAAGTCTATTTTTCACTAAAATTTGCTAAAATTTAAAACACCATGTCTGTCTAGCAAAACAAGTCAGGATGTCAAACCTACCCCACCAGCTACCAGTGAGATCTCTAGACCAGAGTTTACATATGCTACCTTTTAAAAAAATGTGGCTTCATATGTACTTTATGAATAGCTGACCTATTCCATCTGTTTGGCTTAAATTCATGTTTGTCATGTTACATATGAAATGAGAGTGTGTGGTGTGAATACAGCTTTTTCCTTTAACCCTAGGTTGCTTGGGAGACCCTGCAAGAAGAATTTTCCCGCTTCATGACAGAACCGAAAGGGAAAGAGCATGATGACATATTTGATAAACTTAAAGAGGCTGTGAAGGAAGAAAGTATTAAGCGCCACAAGTGGAATGATTTTGCAGAGGACAGCTTGGTATGTCACTTGTATGTTCGCGTGTCGGCCTCGTGGTTTTGTAGAATTTCTCAAATTGATGCTCTTTTTGTAGGAAGCTGTTTTTATACGACCATTTCAGTTAGGTTCTGAGTTTAAAATAATGAGGGAAGAAATAGTTTTACCGTCTATCATTAGCCTTTAACATTGACTATTTCTTTTTTTTTTTTTTTTAATGTTTTTTTTATTTCTAGGAGAGAGAGAAAGCGTGAGCAGGGGAGGGTCAGAGAGAGAGGGAGTCACAGACTGAAACAGGCTCCAGGCTTCGAGCTGGCAGTCAGCACAGAGCCCGACGCGGGGCTCGAACCCACGAACCGCGAGATGATGACCTAAGCGAAAGTCGGACGCTTAACCGACTAAGCCACCCAGGCGCCCCACATTGACTAGTTCTTTCCTGGCTGTCATTTCAGAAAAAAAAGTCAAACTTCGCAATAAACAGAGGCTTCTATAAACTTGCACAAATTGTTGTCCACTAGCCATTACATGGGCTCGAAGTACAGATGGCTCAGATAGCCGCTTCTCCTTTTAACCTTGGTGGTAATAAAAGGAATTGGTTGCCTCAGTTTTCAGTGGATTTGAGTCCTAAAGTATCAGACTTCTAACATAACGCTGCCTGCCACATGCTGAATGCTTACAAGGTGCCAGAAACCCTACAGTGTATCTTGTGAGCACGATTTGACTTCGTCCTTAAGCAGCTCTGTTAGAGTCCTTGGTGAAACTCAGACCCAAGCCCTGCTCTGATGACAAAGCCCGACTCCTGACCTTCACCAAACCCAGCCACCTCCAACACACCTTTTGTTGTGTAGAATGTCCTCATCCATGTCATCAGACCCTGTCAAGCACCTGCTCTGCTCAGACAGTTCTGAGGAGGACTGTGGAAAGACTGAACAGTTTTCTAGGATAATGTGTATCTCACTATAGGCTGGTCATAGTTATAATTGATTTGAAAACGAGTGTGTGTTTTCATGTTTGAAAGCTATGTGCATTCTCGGCAAGTGCCTTCTAAGACCACCTTCCTGAGAGGAGAAGAGTCCTTTTTCATTGACTTACTCAATAATGTAAAATTTAGAAATCGATTTTCTTATAATACATAACTCACATTCACTTAGATTGTCTAGACCTTTTAAGCTTTCCTCCTTTACACTTTTCGTTGGTGTTAACAGTAAGGCAGTGGTTGTTTTTCTCTTTTTTTGGAAATGCTAACACAGAGATCATGTGGCAAAAAGGAGAGGTGGCGATGATCCGGATCATTAACTCCTGAGTCACGAGGGTTCTAGGTGCAGGTTTTATGCTGTTACATGAGCAACATACCTCTCTCAATCTTAGACATAGCTCAATTTGGGATAGGAAAAAAATCTTCACTGTTTATTTTTGGGGGTAGAGAGCTGACCAATAGTCAGGTAATAAAGACCTGCGTCTGCATGAGAGGGGCCTACTGTTACATAGTGTTAGGTACATCTGTTCTTTTGGATGTTTGTAAGCTGTCCGTTTGAATAAAATTGCTAAGATGAGAAGGCGTAGACCAAAATTAGCTGTTTTTGTTTCCTTGTTATTTCAGAGGGTTATCCAGCACAATGCTTTAGAAGACCGGTCCATATCTGATAAACAGCAGTGGGATGCTGCCATTTATTTTATGGAAGAAGCTCTTCAGGCTCGCCTCAAGGACAGTAAGTAGGGACATGGGGCATTGAGTTGTGACTGTTCGCAGTGGTGAAGAAGTCATCCAGCTTGACGGACATTTGTAAAGAAAAGTTTCTTAAACAAATAAACAAAACTAACATTTCAGAGCTTTGTCGTTAATAATGCCGTTAAATATTTTTTGTGGGATTTTTCAGTCAACTGCTTAGTAACTAGTGAAAATAATGTTCATACGTACTCATATTCTAAAAGAACTAGACCATTTTAGTGTTTGCCTCTTCTTGTGGAAACTTTATACCTTGCAATGCCAATTCTACCTTGCATAGATTGTAAACATATACAATTAAATTCTTTCTTACATATGTACCGTATCAATCATGTAATGTCTTTATTTCAACTGAGTTTATATTGATACAGCACTTTGAAGTAGTTAAGAAAACAAGACTATTTTTGTTACTAGTTATAATCGATGTATTTGGTAAATGATAAAATTCTTGATGAATTAAAAACATTTTTTTTCTTTAATTTTTCAGCTGAAAATGCAATTGAAAACATGATAGGTCCAGACTGGAAAAAGAGATGGTTATACTGGAAGAACCGGACCCAAGAACAGGTAAAAAACAAATCTCTGGTCTTACGATATGATTTTGGTTATTTTAATTCACGCATTAAAATAGAACTTGTGTATGCCTCTAGACCAATCCTAATAATTTTAAATGTCTTATATTAGCCTTTCTACAGTATAATGAAATTTGAGAATAAATCGTAAACTACAAAAGAAAGCTGTTTTTTTTTTCAAGTGCAGTAGCTGTGTTATTAAAAGGGGAAATGAACCTTGCCCCTTTTGTGGTTGATTACTTTGTTCATTTCAGTTCCTTGTTTGAAGTAAAATGAAGGTTGAAATTATACACAAAAATAAAAAATGACACGAATTTGAAAGGATGTAGAGTAAATGTGATTGTAGTAAAAATTATAGTGACTTTGTTTACCTCATCTGTTACCTCTGGATTTTTCTGTGTTCTGTTCAGATTATTTTGTTCTTTTGGTAAAAATTCAGACAGGAAATAGAAAGTAGGATTATAGAATTTATTCATTCAATAAATATTTAATGAGCACTTCAGAAGAACAAAACATTAAAGGCAAGTATAAATAAGTGGACAAATGAGTAGAAGGAGGATGTACGAATCACTCAAGTGCCCATCCCTTCCGTTCTTTTTATTCCTTATTGTTATGGCTTCTCTTCCTCTCTAGCATCTAGTCATATACCACATCCCATTCTTATGTTCATTCCTTAAATAAAAGAGTGAAAACCGGATATAAACACATAAGTGAAAGTAGTAATGAATAAGAAAAAGAGGTGGCATCCAGTCCCCTTCCAGTCTGAATCCACGAAATTAGAGAAAGGATAACAAGATATGGAAATATCAAGAGAGAAGATAAAGAGAATGGAAATTACCAAATGACATATCATTCCTGTTTTCCTGATTTGTTTTTTTTGTTTTCATCGTACAGAATTCAGTTATATAATCAACTTTTTTTATTCCATAAGCTGTCTATCAGATGGGAGTCCCAATTCATCTTTAAAAAAGGAAAGGACAGTCTTCCTCTTCTCTTTTCTCTGATAGGATTTTTGTGGAGAGAAGCTGAGGGGGTAGACAGAGTTAGCGGTTGTATCATGCTTGTCTTCAGGGAGCATCAATTCTCTCTCGACACATGGGCTTAGTAGAGGAGGTCTGTCGGAAAAGGATTTCTAGGAGAGCCAGCAGAGGTTTCTGACTTTAAGACTGGAAGAAGCAATGATTGAAAAGAACTGCTGTGAGGCAGATATACTTGGAAGGAAAATGGTGTCCACCCATCAGGGCTTAGGGAAGTTAGGCCCGATGCCTCCAGCCTAATCAGTGATGGCACCTTGTCTCAGCACCTAGTGGCCACTGCTGTCAGAGAGAAACAATTCCTAGTTGTAAATAATCTTCTCAGGAGTTTGAAGACTGTGGAAGAGGTTGAGACTGTCCCCACATCTCACACTGCAAGTTTAGGGATCTGTGGGATAGTTCCTTCTGTCTCTTTGAGTGACCAATTAAGCAGGAAAAGAAATTTAAGACTGTTCTTTGTTAAAGATGAGAAGTCTGTGCTCTGGAAACTAGTTTGTGCTTTTATTTAGTTACTTTTTCCTTAGTTTTCAAGGGAAAACTCCATTCCTTTGAAACATTCTCACCTTTTTTTTTCTTTCATAGTTTATTGTCAAGTTGGTTTCCATATAACACCCAGTGCTCATCCCCACAAGTGCCCTCCTCCGTGCCCATCACCCCTCTCCCCCTCCCCCCACCCCATCAGCCCTCAGTTTGTTCTCAGCCTTTAAGAGTCTCTCATGGTTTGCCTCCCTCCCACTCCCCAGCTACTTTTCCCCTTTTCCTCCCCCATGGCCCTCTGTTAAGTTGCTCCTGATCCACTTATAACTGAAAACATGTGGTATCTGTCCTTCTCTGCCTGACTTATTTCACTCAGCGTACCACCCTCAAGTTCCATCCATGTTGCTGCACATGGCCAGACTTCATTCTTTCTCATTGCCAGGTAGTATTCCATAGTGTAGATAAACCACATCTTCTTGAGCCATTTGTGAGTTGATGGACACTTCGGCTCTTTCCACGATTTAGCTATTGTTGAAAGTGCTGCTGTGAACATTGGGGTCCATGTGCCCGTATTCATCAGCACTCCTGTATCCCTTGGGTAAATTCCTAGCAATGCTGTTGCTGGGTCATAGGGGAGTTCTAGTGTTAGTTTTTTGAGGACCCTCCACACTGCTTACCAGAGGGGCTGTACCAGTTTACATTCCCACCAGCAGTGTAGGAGCCCGTTTCTCCACATCCTCGCCAGCATCTAGAGTCTCCTGATTTGCTCATTTTAGCCACTCAGACCGGCGTGAGGTGGTATCTCAGTGTGGTTTTGATTTGTATTTATTTCCCTGATGAGGAGGGATGCTGAGCATCATTTCATGTGTCTGTTGGCCATCTGGATGTCCTCTTTGGAGAAGTGTCTGTTCATGTCTTCTGCCCATTTCTTCACTGGATTATTTGTTTTTCGGGTGTGGAGTTTGGTGAGTTCCTTATAGATGTTGGATACTAGCCCTTTATCTGATATGTCACTTGCAACTATCTTTTCCCATTCTGTCATTTGCCAATTGGTTTTTGAAACATTCTCACCTTTTCTGAGCTGAACTGTGGAGATCTTGGTCAGGATAGATGGGAGAGCAGTATTCTCCGGAACAGCCAGGGTAGGGGGGACAGGTGGACAGACGGAAGTGAAAACAGGACAAGAAGGGTTGACGAGTTATCATCTAAATTAGCGATTTCCTTCTTACCTCAGACCAAAAGCAGATGTTTAAGGAAACTGAACTTTCTCTTTAAGTCATAGTTTTTCCAAAGTGTCATGTTTTCAGAGATTATTACTTAGTCGTTTCATTTATAAATCAGTTATTTACATTTACATTTTATTCTAGAAGTACACAGATACTGTAGCTTGCTACAGTTTGGGGTAAAGTGCTGTGGTGGTAACTTGTTTAGAGTGATCTGTGAATTTAAAGCTAGCTTCTTTTAGCATGTGGTTTGGAAAAGATTGATAAAAGGAAGGGTAAACATTTTTTGACACTGCATAAAAGTCTTATCTTCAAACTTATCACCAGTATCAGTATATGTTTTCCTCCTTTGTTCATCAGATTATAAACAGTTACAGAGAAGAGATTGGAAATACATTAAAAAATGATAGGCATCAGGGCACCTGGGTGGCTGTGTCCCTTAAGCAACTGAAGCTTGGTTTTGGCTCAGGTTGTAATTTCACGGTTTGTAGGTTCAAGCCCTGTGTTGAGTTGTGCTCTGGCAGCATGGAGCCTGTTTGGGATTCCTTGTCTCCCTCTCTCTGCCCCTTGCCTACTCATGCTCCATCTCCCTCTCTCAAAATAAAATAAACATTAAAAAATAATAATGATTAAAAATGATAGACACCTCTGGCCTTCTCGCTGGCTCAAACTGTAGAGTGTGCTGTGCTTGATCTTGGGGTTGTGAGTTTGAGCCCCACGTTGGGTTTACACATTATTTAAAAATAAATTAAAAAAAAAAAAAAAGGAATGATAGGCACCTTGCAGAAGTAGTTTAAAGCACAGTTTTTAATTAGAAGTCTTTTTTTAAAATCCCAGCTATGAATTTCATATTTATCAGAAAAGAAGCATGCCAGCAGGTACAAGTCCTTACAGCCATCTAGTTCTTAGATGTGAGGCACTTACAGAACATAATCTTGGGGCGCCTGGGTGGCTCAGTCGGTTGAGCGCCTGACTTCAGCTCAGGTCATGATCTCACAGTTCGTGGATTCGAGCCCCGTATCAGACTCTGTGCTGACAGCTCAGAGCCTAGAGCCTGCTTTGGATTCTTTGTTTCCCTCTCTCTTTGACCCTCCCCCACTCACACTCTGTCTCTCTCTCTCAAAAATAAATAAACATTAAAAATTTTAAAAAGGAAAAAAAAGAACATTATCTCTTCCTGTATATTCAGGGTATCTCTTTCCTAGACAGATATCCTACCTGGGGTCAAGAAATACATAGTAAGCTGCCTGGCGCTGTAACTTCGACAATAAAACATCTCAGCAAAAGTAAATTATATAACAAATAGGGCTCATTCCTTTTTTGTTTCTTTTCCCTCGTGTAAGTCCAGCTTGTTCTGCTTCCCTGAGCCGACATCCTGTATCCATAGGCGGGGACCCTGTTCTTTCTGGGTTTTGTGTGGGGCTCGTGTCACCCCTTGTGCAGGAGCAGTGTTTTTACTGAAATTGGGGCTGTTTCCATAAGCATGTCAGATCATGAACCAGCTAAAACAGAGTCTTCTTTTAAACAATTTCAAGTTTGTCCACAATGAAACCAAAAACGAGCTGGAGAAGATGCTGAAGTGTAACGAGGAGCACCCGGCCTACCTCGCAAGCGACGAGATCACCACCGTGCGAAAGAACCTGGAGTCCCGAGGGGTAGAAGTGGACCCAAGCTTGGTAACAACTGTTGCGGAAAACCGTGAACTTACTTCCTTAATGTTTGTTCTTGCAGTAAAATGCCGCTACTTCTCATGTGTTACTCGGATATATAAGTGCTTGACTTGACCTGGGTCGTGTGTAGTTTTGCTGACGGTGAAAACAGTCATTTTGGCTGCGTACAGAGTAGAAGTTCATTCGTGGTATTGTTTTCTTACGTGTAATACTTTAATTCGTAATGGAGAGATTGAGACTTGGGAAGGTGAAGTACCTGGGCATGTTGAGCGCTTCGCTCTCTCAAAAGGAGGTGAAACCCAGTCACCTCTCTGCACCACGTTATGCTGTTTCGGATTGCAAAATACAAGTTCTACCTCAGTGCGTTTCATATGTATATCTGTGTGTTCTCTCAGCCAAATGTACCTTAACCAGGGACGCATGGGTGGCTCAGTCGGGTGAGCATCCAACTCTTGATTTCACCTAAGGGTGGTGGGATCGAGCTCCATGTCAGGCTCCACGCTGAATGTGGAGGCTGCTTGAGAGTCAGTCTTTCTTTCCCTCTGCTCCTCTGCCACTCACTCACACGCTCGCTCTCTCTCTCTCTCAAAAAAAAAAAAAAAAATTACCTTAATCAGGTATGAGTGGATTTAGAAAAAAATACAAATGTTTTTATTAAATTGAATAGTGCCTCATTCTCCTATCTTCATAATAAATACAAGAAGAAAAATAATTACAGTTTAGACTATGTTTACTTACCTTCGTGATGCTTATTTGGGGAAGATTTTAAAAAAGTAACTGTGTTTCTGGGCCTGTTAGAGTGTAAGGAATTAAAACCTCATTTTAATATTAGCTTAAGTTAACTTAAGTGAAACCTGATTAGAAAAATAATTCTAAGGGGGAAACAATCATATAAGAAATTTCAGAGCCACACATAAATTCTTTTAGAGGTTACCTACTATTTATATTTCTGCACTTGAGAAATGAGTGGATTTAAATTCCATAGAAGGGGTGCCTGGGTGGCTCAGTCAGTTAAATGTCCCAGGTAAAACTCAACGCAGTTAAAGCTGTGACATGTAACATTATTTATAAATTAAAAATAAAATTAAAACTAATGATTACATGGAATTATTAGCTCGATACAAATTTAATTTATCCGCACTTGGACTTTGCCTGCGTATCAGGATATGGATGGGCTATATACCTTAGTCACTTTCTCTGAGCAAGAAAATCTCAGGTTTTTTTCCAAGAGAGATTTTGTGCAGTGCACTTGACGAAGCTATAATCTGGTTAACAAAATCCTATGACAAGAATGGATGGACTGCTGCTGGAGATGTGAATTCTAGCACGCTTCCGTCTCGTTCGCTAGTCATACTGACATCATCTCTGAGCTGCCACTTTCCTCATATGTTATATAGGGTTAATGATACTTGTACCTACTTGCCATTATTACTGTTCTGCTTAGAAAAGACAATGATGTGGAAGAACCTTGAACACTCTGACAAACTACATAATGCAATGCGGGGGTCATTTTGCTATGGTAACAGCAAAATGTAGTCATCAGAAAGGAAATACCGTTGGGTTGATGGTCTGAGACCAGCTTCCTACTCCTGACTCTGTCCTTAGATAAGGCTCAGAACCTCCTTTTTCTTTGGGGCTCCTTACCTCTAACTAGGGGAGATAAGAATCCCAACCCTATCTACTCTACAGAGTGATTATTTGAAAGTAATAACAACACTTATTAAAAACACTACATATTTGTAAGTATATAAACTGGTAAGCGGTCAGAGTAGTGGTAAATCTTTTGTCTTAAAATGTTTTTCTTAATGGGTAAAAATAGTTGGCAGAATAACACTACCATTAGCTTTAATTGACTTTTATAACTTTGTGGATGCCGTTTCAGAATGTGTTTGGTCAACCTGAATAGTGTACAGTAACTCCTTGGTTTTGTTTTCTTTTTTCATTTTAGATTAAAGATACTTGGCACCAAGTTTATAGAAGACATTTCTTAAAAACAGCTCTAAATCATTGTAACCTTTGTCGAAGAGGCTTTTACTACTACCAAAGGCATTTTGTAGATTCTGAGGTAAAGTGTCCACAAAGCAGGGGAAATGCTTTTAGTGATGGTTTGGATGCTTAAAAGTAAACTAGAGCTTTAGCATTAGTTTTAAGTCCTTTGATCTGCTGGGGAAAAGTATATGTGATTTATGAAGAGAAACATAACTCATAATCTTTTCGAAGGTTTTTACCACTTTATATTTTACACACAATAAATAAGATTGTGTGTGCAGAGAATAGGCACTAAACCACTGAATTGTTTTTTAAGAATTAACTTTTTTATGTTATAAAATAACACATTCTTGTTGTGGAAATGCAATAAACAAATGTAAAAAAAAAACTGCAAAAGGAAATAGTCACTAATATTCCTTATTAAGGAGTAAGTCACTTATAATCCCCTGACCGAGAAATAATTTTAGTTAACATTTTTATATATTCCGTTAAACTTTCTACATAGTTGTATGCATGTGTATAACATAATCCATTTGCATAGTGTACATCATACTGCAAAAAAGGTGCTTTTTCCTATATTATAATTCTTTATATTACTAGAATCTTTAAATAATTCTTTAAGTGTAGGAGGTTGTACAGTGTAATGCCACATTTCATAAAGTGACCGCCAGGTGGCAGCAGACTGATGTGTTTTGAGCATTTTCTTCTAAGTAGAAAGCTCTGAAAGAACTCTATTTAGTGATCCTAGGCCTCTGAAAATGCTTTTAGGTTTCCTACACCTGAAAGGAAATTTGTATGTCACTATCCCTGTGTAAAAAGTGGCAAGTGTTTTGCATAATTTCATTGTTGAGAAGACCTCTCTACAGAATAAGCTTCTCTTAAAACATATCATTAACTTATTTTTATAAACAAGCTGCATTTCAGAACTGGCTTGCATGCACACTCAGAGAAAAGAGGCTAACCTAAGGACCTATTTAAGCTAACAAGGTTGTTAGGAGAAGCTAAATGCAGAGTAAGGGTGTATGCTGGGAATCTCCACTCGTGTATAATGTCATGAAGTTCTCTACTTCCCACATTCATTTGCTTTGTCATCGGAATCAAAACAAAGCTATATAGGTGTGAGGCATATCGAACGCAAATCACGCAGATGTTCATGAACCCTGAGCGGAAAAGGTTCGGTGGCTTATGTCTGCAGTAGAAGTACGTGCATTAGGTAAATCTGAGGGTTTTTTTTTTATTATTATTAAAGCTTAGGGTATAGGTATTAACTCTAGTAGGCAGTCGTATGTGTTTATGATCGTGGTTTTCATTTTTAAATCTGCATCTGGTAATCTTAACTACCTAATATTTCAGTTGGAATGCAATGATGTCGTCCTGTTTTGGCGAATACAGCGCATGCTTGCTATCACTGCAAATACTCTAAGGCAGCAACTTACCAACACTGAAGGTAAGCCACAGAGGGACCACTTTCTTTCTTTCTTATTTTTTTTTATTACATCCAAATCTGCATATAGTGCAACAGTGATTTCAAGAGTAGATTCTGTAATGCCCCTTACCCATTCAGCCCGTCCCCCTCCCACCACCCCTCCATTAACCCTGATTGTTCTCCATATTTAAGAGTCTCTTACGTTTTCATCCCCCTCCCTGTTTTTATATTATTTTTGCTTCCCTTCCCTTGATGTTCATCTGTTTTGTACCTTAAAGTCCTCATGTGAGTGAAGTCATATGATATTTGTCTTTCTCTGACTAATTCCGCTTAGCGTGATACCCTCTCGTTCCATCCATGTAGTTGCAAATGGTAAGATTTCATTCTTTTTGATTGCTGCGTAATACTCCAGTGTGTGTGTGTGTGTGTGTGTGTGTGTGTGTGTGTGTACGTACACACATATATATATACATGTATACCACCTCCTCTTTATCCATTCATCCATTGATGGACATTTGGACTCTTTCCATACTTGGGCTATTGTTGATGAGGGATCACTTTCTAATTTTGACATCAAAAAAATAGTAATAATATTCATTTAATAGAATGATGCCAAAATACTTCTTTAAAAATAGATTTATTAGAAAAATCGAAAATTAAAAATGCCCTTAAAATATTAGTGAAAATAAATCCTAATTGGGAAAGATGGGAGATAAAACGTACCAAGAATCTCCCTTCATTACCCAAAAATTCTGTTAGAAGAGGACTCCTAAGCTTCACTTAGTTTTTTGGGGGAAATCTGCACTTCCATTAAAGTGTTAGGGCTTGAGAATATGACGGTCTCTGAGAATGTATTAGTTTAATGTTGATAAATGTATTCTATGACAAGTAAAGCTTTCTCCCTATAACTGAGAAGTTTGAACTCAATAGATTGAACACGATGAGGAAAATAAGAACTTGCCCTCCAAATATTGCTCATTTTATCATCCTCGTGCATTCGTTAAAAACACAGCTCCTCAAGTTTTTGTTTACTTTGAACAGTCAGGCGATTAGAGAAAAACGTGAAAGAGGTGCTGGAAGACTTTGCTGAAGATGGTGAGAAGAAGGTAAAGCTGCTCACTGGCAAACGAGTTCAGCTGGCCGAAGACCTCAGTAAGTAGTTCTTCCTGCCTCTTCTGCTTCCCCATTTCCATTATTCGTTCATCCAGTCCCTCGACACTATAGAAAAGTGCTGGCAGAGAACGTTTTTCCTTGAACTGTTGGAGACAGAGTTGCTGACTCATAGCCCCGTCACTTGCGAGTACTCTAACGTGTGTTTCCTAGAAACCAGGGTTTTCTCCTAGCAGCTGTAATGGGACCCTCAAAATCAGGGTGCTGACGCTGATACATTACTGCATCTAATTTTCAGACCCCGTTCACGTGTCCTGTGTTGTCCTAACAGTGTCCTTCCATGTAACGAGGTGTTCTGGGCTCATCCTGTACTTTGCCTGATCCCGCTTCCTTGTTTTGGACAATGGTGTTTAGAAATCAGCAGCGAGGCCTGGGAATGCTCGCTGTCATTGGACTACTGTCACTGTTCAGACCCTCCCAGTGGAAAGAGCTGGGGAGCAGTTGCTGCATGCACTCATGCATGTGCACATTTATGCCTCTGTTCATAATCACATGTGTACATCTAGATTGAAAGCCATAAGTTGACACTGATACTCACCATTTTAATTCAGTGATACAAGGTTCATTCTGTTTTTCTCCTTTTGCTGACCACGAGAAATCTGGCTGCCGATACCCTTAATATATTTACTTACTTTGATCAGTCTCCCTGTATGTAACGAAACTTGTCACTGTCCCCGTCACTGCACAGGCATCTCTTTCACCCGGCTCAGGCTCTGATCACCAACTCCAGGCCACCACCACAGTGCCACACCCTGTATTGACACCCGTTTCACTTCACCCAGGCTCTGATACCCCATGCCGCGTTGCCCTTCTTCACAGTCCTGTTTCCTGAGCTCACGCCCTGACATCGTATGCCAGGCACGTCCCCCTTTATCCTTCCCATGGTTTCCCCTGCCCACACACCCCCTCCTCGCCGGAATCCAGGCCATGCTGTTTTAGAAGACACCCTCTTTGTCCTACGTGTGCTCCAGTACCCTGCACAGACGGGACTGCACCCCTCCACGGGTACTCTCCTCACTACCGGCCCACCCCACCAGCACCCCCACGTGAACGCCCTCTTCAGCCGGGTCAGGCTCTAACACCTCCACTAGGCCCATAGGGCTTTCCCCTCTGGCCACCGCTCCCGCACCTCCAGGCTGGCTCGGCCTTCCTGATCACTTCGTCACCTTGTTTGTGGGGGATGTCTGTTCTTTCCTGGATGCTAGTGCATTCCTAGTTTTCAGGTATTGGGATTACATACTGAGCCTTGAGAACCCAAGGAAATCAGTGACAGAGTAATGTTTAATAAACATAAACCTACTGAGGTTGGTACTTCTGTTTGAGCTTAACCTCGTTACAGGTTTCCCTCATTTAATTCCATGAAACAAAGTATTTTTCCTTTCAACGTGTACTTCAGTTTACGGTCTTGGGAATTTTCTGATATCTAAGAGAAAGAAGGTACTAAGTAGGGAGAAATTCTTCAAGTTTGAAAACGGTTTCTAACCTGAATTTAAGTCACTGCATACCCTCCCTAGTAGCTGAGCGAAACCAGCGTCTTCCTGTTCGATGCCCTGCGACTCAGCCGCACGCACTTCTGCACCACTGTCGTCTCCCTCTCTCAGCTACCCCAGCACGTCACTGGCTCTCTTTCCTCTCCTTTCTGCCTTTAAAGAATCTTGTATTTGAAACATATCTCCTTTTGGCTCTCATTTCCACTTTCTGTTCCTTTTAGTTTTCCTTCATGCCACTTTGTCAGAATAGTTAAGTTTGTGCCAACTTGTAGAAGATCTGTGTTTGAATGTGAGCTGCCCTTCACCAGCTGTATTATCTCAGGCAGGATATCTGCCTTAGCCTCTTTGCTTGTAAAGATGACTCCCGTAGTTACTATATTGCTAGGAGGCTTTTTAGGAGAATTAGTTCAAAAACCACTTGCAAGTCTCTGCTTCACAGTTTTATGCCACGTTAGCGCCCTTACGGGAAGAGGTGTGTCAGTGTTGCAAGGTGTACAAATATATCTCTTTTGAACCCCCGTGCGTGGTTATCAGACAGTGAAATACCCCACTGTATTTTAGCAGCATGTATAATTGTAAACGATTAAAGGCAGTGGGTCTTTTCTCAGGTTTTGCAGTAGAGCCATATATAACCACATTACTTTCCAGTCCCACTTTGATTATTTGAAGAAAGTGTATTGCTAACACAGATCGGTGCGCTGTCAGGCCAAGTCGTAGACTGTCCTGCTGGCTTTCCTGAGAAAGTACTCCACTGACTTCCTTGAAATGATTGACTACTTTTGTACACATAAAATTATGGTCGTGTTAATGTACCAAATCATGTCCTTGGAAGCAAGTGTTTCACCAGTGACTTGGCTTCATCGTTCACAGTAAAGGAGATGAGCCATGACTCTGTCTATTAGTTGGAAAAGAGTCTCGGGAGCACCTTTCCCGTACTGTTTCCCTCTAACGGAACACTCGGGAATATGGTCATGGATCCTTTCAGCCAGAAAACTTTCACAGTTTTAACAGCAACTACTGTATTACTTGGATCAAAGTTTGTAGGATAGCCTATTCAAGTAGAATACAGTTAATGGAGCTTAGAGTAAGAGAAGAGCCAAAACAGTTTTTACTACAGTTTCAAAACAGTACAGGGGTGGAGTATTGTGGAGATTTGGAAAAAGTTTGCTGCGTCGTGTTTTTTGCCAGTCTTATTAAATGTGCTCATTTAAATCATTTCACCGCTTTTCTTTGGAAAATTCATCAATGGATTGTCCTGAGTTAGGAAGACCAAAGAAACAGAAGAAGAGCCCACCCCTTCTTGTCTGTAGAAAGAAGTCATCCGTAGGAGCCAGGACTCTTTGGAGATGTAGTGGAGTCCCTAGCTGGAGCAAGAGAAGGTCAGGGTGAACCTGGTGCTCCCTAAGATGAGAAAGTAAGCAAGTACGTGAAGGGTGACGGGGACGCGCAGTGCGGTAGAGAAGCCAGCATGGAAAGGCTCCAGCTGGCCAAAACTAGGACACTTTGGTCATCAAAATAAGTTACGACAGGTACAAACTGTAACCCATTTAATAAAACAGGATTCTATAAATTGATAAATATATAAGTAAATGAATAAAATTAACTATATAAATGAATAAAATCAGTGTAAGGAATGAGGGGTTCATATAATCACACAAAGTAATTAAAAAAAGGAAAAAGAGTAACTTTACAATGGAGAAGGCTGGCAATAACCACCTTACTCAAGCTGTCAGAGGTAATATTATCAGTAATGGCCAAATCAGAACTGTGTGTGACCTTCTAGAACGCAGTGGAAAAAACCTAGTGTCATTCCTTGGATATTTGTACCGAAGATGTATAGGTTTTTTTTTTTTTATCCCAAAGATGTATAACTTAAATCCAGTCATAAAGGTACATCAGACAAGCCCAGACTGAGGCACAGTCTATATAATAATTGGCCTGTAATCTTCAAATGTATCAAGATCATGAGAAACAGGGCGCCTGAGTGGCTCAGTCGGTTAAGTGTCTGACTTTGGCTCAGGTCATGATCTCACGATTCGTGGGTTTGAGCCCCATGTCGGGCTCTGTGCTGACAGCTCAGAGCCTGGAGCCTGTTTCAGATTCTGTGTCTCCCTCTCTCTCTGACCTTCCCCTGCTCACACTGTCTCTCCCTCTCTCTCTCTCTCTCTCAGAAATAAATAAAACATTAAAAAAAAAAAAAAAGATCGTGAGAAACAAGGAAATAGTGAGGTACTATTATTCTAGGTCGAAAGAGCGTAAAAATAAAATGCAGTGTGATCCTAAACCTGATCCTTTTGCTCTAGAGGACGTTAATGGGACAGTTGGTGGAACTTGAATGGGATCTGAAGGTTGGTAACATGGTAGTAATACATCAGTGTTAATTTTTAAATCTTGATTGTTACATTGGGATTATTTAGGAAAATATCTTTATTTGTAGCTAATACACACTGATACAATATTTGGGGTGTATGGGATATAATGACAGTAAATTATTCAGGAAAAATACGTTCCTTGTAGTGTTCTTAAAACTTTTCTCCCAATCTGAGATTATTTTTACATAAAAAAGGTAAAAAGTTGTTTAATTTTGTTGTTTATATAAATGGATCATGGTCATATGAAAATAATTTAGAGAAAATTAGAATTTTAAAAAATACGATCTCTGAGTACGCAAAAGGCCAAGTTACTTCCTGGACAGTTTAATAAAAGACATGACTCATCTCTCTACTTTAATTCCTTATTTGTGGCATCTGATTACACTTAGAGCTGTTTAGTGTTGAAATATGCCCACTATGACCTTGATGAAATTCTTTTGATTTTATAGCAAATTTTATTTCAAAGATTTTTTATAGATATTTAAATACAGTGTCAACTTAGGTAAAATCTATTTGGATTAATATATTTATTTATTGAAACAGACTACAGTTTTAAAATGCCTTCTTTGAAGAGGGGAAGATTAGAATAGTATAGCTCAATTCCAAGTTTTTCCTTCTATAATGAGCTGTTTTATGATTTATAAAATCGTTTATGATTGCCATTATATAAAACAAGCGATAGTGCCAGCATCTCACAGACATTTTGGAATTTGTTCATTCCGCCCTGGAAACGGAATGTCTGGGCACCCGTAACAATTGCCGTAACGTTGCTAAACTGCGTTTCACCAAAACAGCATGGAATTCTTTCTTTGTTTGTTATGTGAATGTTGTACCAACTGTTAACGAGGTTATTGTGAGTTTTGGACCTTCGTATCAATTGCTTGGGATTTAGAGCTTAGGTTTCTTTTTAAGCTCTTGTTCACTAAAGCCTGAATTACTTTTCATTCTCTGTGCACATAATCAAAGAATCCTTGATACCCAGGAATTAAAGGGGCATTACAAATCATTTAGATCGCTCAAAGATCTACAGTCTTTCCCTTCTAACTTTACATTTCTTTTCATTTTTATATCGGAACTTGAAACTGTTTATGAATGTGAATATTTGAATACTTTTCCTGTT